TGTAGAACTGTTAGATATTACTTGCTAGATATTGCTGCACTGTCGGAACTAGAAGCACAAGCATCTCGCAATAATATCTGCTAACCATGTGTACAGTCGTGGTCAAAAGTTTTGAGAATGACACAAATATTAATTTTCACAAAGTCTGCTGCCTCAGTTTTTATGATGGCAATTTTCATATACTCCAGAATGTTATGAAGAGTGATCAGATGAATTGCAATTAATTGCAAAATCCCTCTTTGCCATGAAAATGAACTTAATACCAAAAAAACATTTCCACTGCATTTCAGCCCTGCCACAAAAGGACCAGCTGACATCATGTCAGTGATTCTCTCGTTAACACAGGTGAGAGTGTTGACGAGGACAAGGCTGGAGATCACTCTGTCATGCTGATTGAGTTAGAATAACAGACTGGAAGCTTTAAAAGGAGGGTGGTGCTTGAAATCATTGTTCTTTCTCTGTTAACCATGGTTACCTGCAAGGAAACATGTGCCGTCATCATTGCTTTGCACAAAAAGGGCTTCACAGGCAAGGATATTGCTGCTAGTAAGATTGCACCTAAATCAACAATTTATCGGATCATCAAGAATTTCAAGGAGAGAGGTTCAATTGTTGTGAAGAAGGCTTCAGGGCGCCCAACAAAGTCCAGCAAGCGCCAGGACCATCTCCTAAAGTTGATTCAGCTGCGGGATCGGGGCACCACCAGTGCAGAGCTTGCTCAGTAATGGCAGCAGGCAGGTGTGAATGCATCTGCACGCACAGTGAGGCGAATATTTTTGGAGGATGGCCTGGTGTCAAGAAGGGCAGCGAGGAAGCCACTTCTCTCCAGGAAAAACATCAGGGACAGACTGATATTCTGCAAAAGGTACAGGGATTGGACTGCTGAGGACTGGGGTAAAGTCATTTTCTCTGATGAATCCCCTTTCCGATTGTTTGGGGCATCCGGAAAAAAGCTTGTCCGGAGAAGACAAGGTGAGCGCTACCATCAGTCCTGTGTCATGCCAACAGTAAAGCATCCTGAGACCATTCATGTGTGGGGTTGCTTCTCAGCCAAGGGAGTGGGCTCACTCACAATTTTGCCTAAGAACACAGCCATGAATAAAGAATGGTACCAACACATCCTCCGAGAGCAACTTCTCCCAACTATCCAAGAACAGTTTGGCGACGAACAATGCCCTTACCAGCATGATGGAGCACCTTGTCATAAGGCAAAAGTGATAACTAAGTGGCTCTGGGAACAAAAAATCGACATTTTGGGTCCATGGCCAGGAAACTCCCCAGACCTTAATCCCATTGAGAACTTGTGGTCAATCCTCAAGAGGTGGGTGGACTAACAAAACCCCACAAATTCTGACAAACTCCAAGCATTGATTATGCAAGAATGGGCTGCCATCAGTCAGGATATGGCCCAGAAGTTAATTGACAGCATGCCAGGGCGGATTGCAGAGGTCTTGAAAAAGAAGGGTCAACACTGTAAATATTGACTCTTTGCATAAACTTTAATGTAATTGTCAAAAGCCTTTGACACTTATGGAATGTTTGTAATTATACTTCAGTAAACCATAGTAACATCTGACAATATCTAAAAACACTGAAGCAGCAAACTTTGTGAAGACCAATACTTGTGTCATTCTCAACTTTTGACCACGACTGTATGTGACCATTTGATTTGATTTTGATATATCTTAGCCATCTGCTGCCTTCGGAAGAATCCAAATCAATCAAAAACATTTAATTGAGTTACGTCTAGGGCATAGGTCACTAACAGGCGGACCGCGGTCCGGATCCGGACCCAGAAGCCGTCCCATACGGACCCGGACCAAAACAAAAGATTATGAATTAAAACCTGACGGGGCGCTTCTATTTTAATATGCACAGCTTTTGTAGTCTTTACGGTACTCGTTTTGTGAATGAGGAAACTCACCGACCAATTGCATGTGAGTTAAGCGATCCCACGTGATACCACTCAGCCAATGAAGTCTTTGCATTCCTGGCGGTAAACATTGGGACTCTACAGTGCAGACAGATGAGAGTTTTAGAGGCAAGTTACCAAGGAAAAGAAAGTCGGATTAAAAAGATAGCGATATATGTAGAAAACAAAGGGAGCGAAAACAGACGAATGAGACGGAGAAAGGGAACGAAACAGACGAGTGAGAAACAGACGAATGAGACGGAGAAAGGGAGAGATACAGACGAGTGTGCCGGAGAAAGCTGAGGAAAATACGAGTGAGACGGAGAAAGTTGACGAAAATATGAGTGAGACGGAGAAAGGGAGCGAAACAGACGAGTGAGGCAGAAAAAGGGTAACAGTTAGAGAAAATAAGGAACAAATGGCACTCTCCAAAAAAAGAAAAGTGGACAATGAAAACAGAGCATTTAATCCATAATGGACAGACTCCACCAGGATCCTGAGCAACACATTCACTGCCCAACAACGTGCTCTTGAGTGTTCCCTCAGAGTTTCTTGGATTTTGGGTAAACACAAAAAGCCATTTACAGATGGAGGGGTTGTCAAAGAATGCATGAGTGCAGTAGCTGAAACACTACTTGAGGGAAAACAAAAAAATGAGCTTTGTGATAAAATAAAGCAAATTCCCATGTCAGCATCATCTGCCACAAAGAAAAGTGAAATATTAACTCAGGATGTGCTAACCCAGCTAGATGAAGCCATGCATAAGGCACCATGTGTAGGCTTAGCTGTGGATGAGTCCACTGACATATGTGACAATGCTCAGCTGTTAGTGTTTGCCAGGTTTTTCAACACAGCCCAGAAAACATTCTGTGAAGACATGTTAGGTGTCACTCCCCTTCAGACCAGTACAAGAGGAGAGGATATCTACCTGGCCATTAAGGAGATGTTAACAAAAAGAGGAATAGAGCCAAAACAAGTGGTTTCAATAACCACAGATGGAGCCCCTTCTATGATAGGGAAAGAAAAAGGAGCTGTAGCAAGACTGAAAGGGGACAATCCTGAGCTTTTATCTTACCATTGCATCATTCATCAATCTGTCCTCTGTGCCTCCCTGTCAGATGAGCATGCTGAGGTGATGAATACAATGATGAAAATGATAAATTTTCTCAGGGCATCCTCTTCCTACCAGCATCGCATGCTTAGGGAATTCCTCAGAGAAGTTGATGCCAATGCTGATGATCTTTTGCTGCACAACAATGTGAGATGGCTCAGCAAAGGCAGGGTGCTAGAGCGCTTTTGGTCCATCAGGAGGGAATTAGCATCTTTTTTGGCAGAGCTAAGCAGTCAGAAGGCAACACAGTTTTCTCTCTTTTTAGAAAATGAGAAATGGATGGATAATGTGGCCTTTTTGGTTGACATCACGTCACATCTGAATGAACTGAATTTGAGGCTACAGGGCAAGGACAATTCAATTTGTGAACTGATGACAGCTGTTCGCTCCTTTCAGAGGAAACTTGAAGTGTTCAAGGAAGACCTGCAGGGAGACTGTGTACACTTCCCAGCAGTGCAGGAACAGGTTCAGGGACAGAGAGATTTGTCTTCTTTTGTTGATTTTATTGATAAGCTGATTGTAAACTTCAGCAACCGTTTTGACAGCTTCAGCTTTGGAGAGCAGCTCACCATGTTCATTCAGAACCCATTTCTGATCACAGATGTCAGGGGGTTCTCAAAGGAAGTCACACAGCACTTTAAATGGGTAAATGCTGGGTCTCTCCAGATGCAATTGGTTGATCTCCAAGCAGATGTGGCCCTGAAAGAGCAGTTTGTAAGAACTGACCCTTCCACTTTCTGGTTCCAAATGGTCCCTGAGACTGCTTTCCCGGGTCTGAGGAAAGTAGCCCTATACATCTTGACCATGTTTGGCTCCACATACAACTGCGAGGCAGCTTTCTCCACAATGAACATAATTAAAACTAAATATCGTTCCAGGCTCACCAATGAGCACCTTCACATGTGTATGAGAATGGCCCTGACTCCATTCAAGCCCAGGTTTAAAATTCTGGCAAGACAGGCTAAAGCTCAATTCTCTCACTGAGCAAAAACATGGTGGAGTGGGATATGAGGGGAAGAAAGTGATACTCTAAAACTGTTCAATTGTTAAGATCTGTTGAGATTTATTATTTGTAAAATTGGTTGAGACTGTTGAGTCAAGATGTGAAACAGAAAAGGGGAAATTCAAACTTTTCCTCCCTTTATATTATTTTTCTGAAGTTAAGCACTTTTTTTGAAAATGCACAATTTTCACATTTTATTTATTTTCTCTTATTTTGACATGCAGCCCTAGTTTTATTTAGTTAATTAATGAGAGCACATTGTACATATCTACAGTCATACATATATGTTCAGTAGGGCTGCCCCTCTTAGTCGATTAGTCGACTAATCGGTCGTTTTGGTCTTAGTCGACTAAGATTTCTTTAGTCGATAAGTCATTTTTTATGCTTATTCATGCTTAATTACTCATTTCCAAGTAACTTATGAGAACATTTCTGGTGAACACGAGATTTAAAGTGGTGCTTTTGCAGGATTAATTTCGGAGAAACTCAGTTTTACAGATGGTTAATTAACTACATTTATATTGCGCTTTTCTAGTCTTGCACAGCTCTGTCGATTAAATCAACTAATCGATTAGTCGACAAACTCATATAAGTGTTAGTCGACTAAGAATTTCTTTAGTCGAGGACAACCCTAATGTTCAGTTCTATGTTTCGTGATAATAAATATTGTCAACACGTTTTTGAATTGTACTGAATTAATTTGATTAGACGGTCAGTTATTGATTACATTCAGAACTACTAGGCTACTTAAATATATATACCACTAAATTGTTAGACATTATGATCTTCTGGACCTTTGCTTCAAAACATTTTCTCTAACTGGACCTTTTTTAAATTTTGTTGAATACCCCTGGTCTAGGGTAAATACTGTCTGTAAGAAGTGTGTATGATGAAATTTTGATTATCAGCATGTGTAAAGGTTTTAGTGGGAAAACCAAGGCGTCATTAAATCCAGTGGAGGGGGACAAAGCATCCAAATAAAAGCAGCTGAAAATCACGTGACGTGGAACCAACATGGCGACTGTGCTGAGGTAGCATCCTCAACGAACTCGGTGACTAGACAGACACCGATAGCCTTTCTCTCGCCTGCATCTACGCAGTGCCCGGCCGAAGATGACGGCCTGAGAGAGCAGAAGTTATATCAAGAGATGCAACAGCAACGTCTTGCTCAACAACAACAGAAGCAGGCAGAAAGCGCAAAAACCAAGAGCATGTTTCTGTCTAGGGCGCTGGAAAAAATCCTCTCCGATAAGGAGGTGAAGCGGATCCAGCACAGCCAGCTGCGTAAAGCTTGTCAAGTGGCACTTGGTACGTGAGTTTTATTTTTATTCTTGGACAGTGCACACATAGGCATGTTTTGTTTCTTCAATGTAATGTTTTAGGTAACCCTTTGCGTGCTAACTAACACAGTACTGGGTTATCTCATTTCGTAATGGCCTCCTGACTGTCAAGCTAGCTACTCTAGCTTGCTAGCCAGTTTGGTATAACGTTAGATAGCTTGCACGCTAACAACACAACGCAGGTAATGTTCAACGCTTCAGACTTTGAACGCCGGCTGATTATAGTGGGGTCTTGGCATAGGTCTGACTGCATGGGAACGCTTGGATCTGAGTCCTATCTCTTAAGATTGCAAAATCATCACTGTCAACTTTAACAGCTGGCTGGCTAACTAGTTAACGTGATACCTTCCCATTGGACCAGTCATTGTACAGTACGTAGCATTGTCACCTAACCGGAGCGGCACCTGTTTATTGAACTGGGAACTTATGCCGCGTTCAGATACTGTTCGGAACTAGGAAACTCGGAAATGCTCGATTTGTGGATTCGTTGAACGCGGCACGTGTAGCTATGTACAACCAGTTAGCAAGTCGGAAATGTCAGTTTCCTAGTTCCGACTAGCACGTGAACGCGGCATTAACTCAGGGTACTCTTGACATCAGTTCTTTTCCATTGAGCAGTGGAGGGATAGTTTTACACACCACGCATTCTTGTGTTTGTTGAGAGAGAAATCCTGTAACCTTGTCTTTGATAATCTGAATAGGAGACATTCCAGCTGTATACATTTTACTGTAAATTAAGGATAATGTGTAAGTGAAATGTTACTGTAAATGAATGGTCATTATTACTGCTAGTTTAGTATGACATACAGCGTAGTCCCTGCCCATCTTACGAAAATGTCTGAAACTCTACCTCTTTAAAGAGTATCTTAGAGAAATACCATGGCGGGGACTTCTAGCTTGATCAGGGGCAATCAATTACTATTTGAGAAGGTATAGACACACACATGTCCTATGTGGTAAAGGTCAGAATGGATAATGTCAAGTAATGATAGATTCCAGTCAAGTCATTGTCACAGCCAGGTAACCCTGTACTGAAGTAGTACCATATTCATCTGGTGGGTAAATGTTGGCCTTGCTCCTTTCAAATAAATTAATCTCTCCATATTGACATTGCCCAGCCCACTCATAGACTCTCATATTCAGCACACTGTACACTAAACCGTTTACTTAGGCTCTATTCATTGCATACTTTTCTCATTGGCACAGATGGTGGGGGGAGAACCTCCCTGCCTGGCTATAGCCCAAATTCTTTAACGAAGCCCATCCATTATCATAATCAGATAACATGTTATAATGGAGTGATTCTGTACAAAACCCGGACAAAATCCCCCAAATCATTGTATTTTTTTTGTCTTGGTTTCATATGGAATCACTCCATGAGCATGCCTCAATGGATCCTCATCCTCTGACTAATATTAGCCACCCTTTTTCACAAACTGTGAGTGGCCAATGGACTGTGGTTCCCCCTAGTTTGAGTATATGCACACATATGCCATTGAGAAATGAAATGACCTAGACACTGGCACCATAGTTAGTTTATTTGCTGTTTACTGCACTGTGATGTATCCTAGATCGGTGGTTCCCAAACTGTGGGTCGGCGGGGGTCCCCCCCCCCCCCCCCCCCCCAAAAAAAAACCCGGAACTCAGTCCTGCTTTAAACATTCTCTTGAAAGTTGTAATAGTAGAATGCACAAGGTGCAATTTAGAAATTGGGTAGTGCGTCATCAGTTCCTCTTGTCATGTTAGTCATTGCATACCTTAGAGAGCTTTAAAACTTGTCAGAAATGTCCAGATCAACTAGCCTATGTCAGCTAATGTTTTTTTAGCCAATAGATATTGTTGGATTTTTGTGTCACTCAAATATGACACGAATACACATTAGACATGGCAAATGGATAGAATTGCAAGAAAAATAGCTTTAAAACAAACTGCAATATTTTCTTTGCACCCCATGACAAAATGTGTAGAATTGCTGAAAGGGGGGCCCCCAAGTGGAAAAAGTTTGGGAACCCCTGACCTAGATTATGAAATGTAGACTATTGCACAAGTTGTATTTGCTGTTATATTGTTAAGGGGAGATATGATGAGCAACTAGAGATGTCCAGTGGTGCCATAATGCTGCTTCCACAGCTAATGGTTTGTTTATGGATCCCAGATGAGCCTTGGGAGATTCTTTCTCTTCCTTTTCTGAGTCGGCAGTTTTCATATTTACAATACAACTTTATACAACACCACTTTAATGTCCATCGTTGCAGCGAACAATGGGAATTCTGTCTTCTGCGCTCTTCATTTCTCAACCCCCCCCCCCCCCCCCCCCGCCCAGATAGCACACGTCAATCAGACACACAGTTGAGAGGAGCACAAGGCCAAGCTGCAGTTGAGAGACTACAACTGCTGTAAGCTATATCCTCAGAGAGTGTACGCTATGCTCCCTGTTCTACCTCGTGCCTGCCTTGAGAACAACTTTGGGTCTTGTGTGTCAGCAGTTGCCAAGCATCTCAGCATGTGAAGTTCTGGGATGCAACAGGCCAACTTGGTCACATCACGTCTGGCCTTGTATGTATGCACCATTGCTAATGCTTAGACCTACTAGGCTAGATAAGGAAAATTGTGACTTCCAGTGAGTGGTGCATTTGGGCCTGTTCCGAAAGAGCTGCTTTGAACGCAGGACCTTTGGTCACAGCTTTGGACAGAGCAATGTTAAGGCGATTTAAGATTGTCTCTGGTCATTAGCAAGAGGTTTATGGGTTTTGCGGTAGTGTGATTTTAAATTAGCCAAACACCATAATATCAATTGTTTGATGACTGCAGTCCATTTTTTATTTGTTTTTGCTAATGCTAACTGTATTAATGGTATGTTGATACTGGTATTTTTATGTTGGTGAAATGAATTATGAGTTATGCCTACAAAACAGAAGAAACACTCATCAGGTCTAAAGGTCTAAAAGTTCAGACGTCATTTATCTTGTTCCCTTTGTTTTCACAGATGAAATCAAAATCGAGCTTGAGAAGCAAAAGTAAGTTCAAACCCCTTTCTCTCCGAAAGTATTTGCAACTCATGGACAGGTGATTGGTGATGCACCTATCAAAGGGATACTGCGACATTTTAGCAATATGTGTCTGCGTTTAGTTTGCAGGAAGTTGAAGATAGTTTCTGGAACCATTGCTATCTAGCGTTAGCGCAACGACCAGAAGGCTACGGGAACAACTATCGCGCTCTATCCCTTTTAAGCAGTCACCGCTGTTATTAGTGGTTATTAAGCTTGTTGTTCTGAGGCCTGCATGTCATCAAGACCTTGTCCTGTGGCTCCTTTATACAGAGATGGCACAGTGGTCCTGCCCCGAGCAAACTACATTGAAGCTGACAAATATGTGCTACCTTTTGAGCTCGCCTGTCAATCAAAGTCCCCACGCATTGTCAGCACATCGTTGGACTGCCTACAGGTACGCAAGTTTACACATCAAAGGACTTTAAACACACCAACACCCATATGTATTACAAATCAAATGTTATGTGTCACATGCGCCGAATACAACAGCTGTAGACCGTAAGGAAGCATTTCACTGTAAGGTCTACACCTGTTGTATTTGGCGAATGTGACAAATACAATTTGATTTGATTTATGGGATGGAGGTAATTGGCCCTACTCAATCAACCACACTATTCTATTATATACAAGACACTGTCTCTGTCGTACTGTCTCTGTCGTACTGTCTCTGTCGTACTGTCCTACTGTCTCTGTCGTACTGTCTCTGTCGTACTGTCTCTGTCGTACTGTCTCTGTCGTACTGTCGTACTGTCTCCGTCGTACTGTCTCCGTCGTACTGTCTCTGTCGTACTGTCCTACTGTCTCTGTCCTACTGTCTCTGTCCTACTGTCTCTGTCGTACTGTCCTACTGTCTCTGTCCTACTGTCTCTGTCGTACTGTCCTACTGTCTCTGTCCTACTGTCTCTGTCCTACTGTCCTACTGTCTCTGTCCTACTGTCCTACTGTCTCTGTCTCTGTCCCCTTTTTTGTCCCGTCGTACGTCTCTGTCGATTTTTACGCTCCCGGTACGCTCCGTCTCGTTCGTCGTATGTGTACTGTCTCCGTCGTAGTCTCCTCTACTGTCTCTGTCTCTGTCGCTGTCTCTTCCACTGTCTCTGTCCCCTTCTTGTCGTACTTCTCTGCCTACGGCTCTGTCTACGTCCGTCCTAAATGTCTTGTCCTACGGTCTCTGTCGTACTGTCTCTGTCCTACTGTCTCTGTCCTACTTCCCCTTTTATGTTCCCCGTCCTACGTCTCTGTCCTACTGTCTCGTGTAAGCCTGTCCCTACTGTCTCTGTCCTACTGTCTCTTTTTCGTCGTACTGCTCGTCCTACGGGCTTGTCTTGTCCTACTGAACTACGTCTCTGTCGTAATGTCTCGTCCTACTCTCTGCTACGTCTCTGTCCTACGTCTCTGCTCGTCCCACGGGCTCTGTCGACTGTCCCCTTTTTGTACTGAACTACTTCTCTGTCGTAATGTCTCTGTCCACTGTCCTGTCTCTGTCCTAGGTCCCCTTTCTCTGTCTCTGTCCCACGGGAAATATGCCTGCCTCTGTCTTGCGTACAGTCTCTGTCCCCACGAACTACTCTTTTGTCCTACTGGGCTCTGTCGCTTCCATGTCTCTGCCCCCTGTTTTTGTCCTACTATCTTGTCGTACTTCTTGTCCTACTGTCTCTGCTCTGTCCCTATCTCTGTCCCACTGTCTCTGTCGTAATGTCTCTTCGTAATGTCTCTGCGTAATTCTCTGTCTAATGTCTCTGCGTACTGTCCTGTCCTATGTCTCGTCGAATGTCTCTTGTATATCTCTGTCCCACTGTCTCTGCTAATGTCTCTGTCTACTGTTAGGGCCTGCCTACTGCTCTGTCCCCATGTCTCTGTTGTACGTCCGTCTTGTCCCACTTCCGATGCTGTCGTATTTTTTGACTGTTTGTCCTACTGTCTCTGTCCTACGTCCCATCTTGCCTACGTCTCTGTTGTCTGTCCTAGTCTTCCACTGTCTCGTTTTTACTGTCCACTGTCTACGTCTCTGTCCTACTGTCTCTGGACTTCTCTGTGTCTGTCTTTCCACTGTCCTGTCCTACTGAAAATACTGTCTGTCGACGTCTCGTTTAAGTCCTACTGTCCTGCGACGTCCTACTGTCCTTGTCCTACTGTCCTCTTCCCCCGTCGTACGTCCCACTGTTTATGCCTACTGGGCGTACTGTCCTAATGTCTCGTCGTACGTCCTGTCGTACTGTCTCGTTACTGTCTCTTCCTACGAACTACTGCTGTCCCCCCGTATGTCCTCCCTTCTCTGGTGTATGTCCTCTGTCTCTGTCGTACTTCCTACTGTCTTGTCTACTTTCCTATGTCCTACGTCTCTGTCCTCCCCGTCTCTACCCCACTGAAATGCTGTCTCTGTCCTACGTCGTGTCTTTTTTGATTCTCTGTCCTACTGTCTCTGTCGTATGTCCAAAGTCCCCTGTTTTTACTGTCTCTGTTGTCTGTCTTACTGTCTCTGTCGACTGTCCAACTGCCCCTGTCCCACTGTCTCTGTTGTACTGTCCTCTGTCCCTGTCTCTGTCCACTGTCTCGTCTACTTCCTCTGTCTCTGTCATACGTCCTACTGTCTCTGTCGTCTGTTCCCCACGTTCCTGTCCGACTGTCTCTGTCGTTCGTCCCCTGTTCCCCGGGCGTTGCGTACTGTCCCCTTTTCGTACGTCTACTGTCTCTGTCCTACTGTCTCTGTCATACTGTCCTACTGTCTCTGTCGTACTGTCCTACTGTCTCTGTCCGACTGTCTCTGTCGTTCTGTCCCACTGTCTCTGTTGTACTGTCCTACCGTCTCTGTCCTACTGTCCTACCGTCTCTGTCCAACTGTCTCTGTCGTACTGTCCTACTGTCTCTGTCCTACTGTCTCTGTCCAACTTTCTCTATCGTGCTGTCCTACTGTCTCTGTCGTACTGTCCTACTGTCTCTGTCCGACTGTCTCTGTCGTTCTGTCCCACTGTCTCTGTCGTACTGTCGTACTGTCTCTGTCGTACTGTCCTACTGTCTCTGTCCTACTGTCTCTGTCATACTGTCCTACTGTCTCTGTCGTACTGTCCTACTGTCTCTGTCCGACTGTCTCTGTCGTTCTGTCCCACTGTCTCTGTTGTACTGTCCTACCGTCTCTGTCCTACTGTCCTACCGTCTCTGTCCAACTGTCTCTGTCGTACTGTCCTACTGTCTCTGTCCTACTGTCTCTGTCCAACTTTCTCTATCGTGCTGTCCTACTGTCTCTGTCCTACTTTCTCTGTCCTACTGTCTCTTGTACTGTCCAACTGTCTCTGTCCGACTGTCTTACTATCCTACTATCTTACTGTCCTTCTATCTTACAAGGATGGGAAACAGTGTTTAAACCCTTTACAATGAAGATCTGTGAAGTTATTTGGATTTCTACTAATTATATTTGAAAGACAGGTTCCTGAAAAAGGACGTTTCTTTTTTTTTGCTGAGTTTAGTTCTATACTGTATATCCTATTGTGTACATATTGGTCATATTTTTATGTGACTTCTTGATTTATTATAGATGTCGATTATTGTACTGCAATGTTGAGGGAGCTAGCACACAAGCATTTCACTTCACCTTTTATACATGCTGTGAACTGTGTACGTGTCTAACATTTGATTCGATATTTACTTGTAAATGCCACATGTTGGAGGACTTAAAATGTTACTACACTTGTTGTGTGCCTCAGAAATGTGCTCCTAAATGCCACAGATGCATACTCTCTCCACAACATCTCCTCTCCCCCTTGGCAGAAGCTCATTGCGTATGGCCACATCACAGGGAACGCCCCTGACAGTAGTGCTCCAGGGAAGAGGCTCATCGACCGGCTGGTGGAGACCATTTGTAACTGCTTCCAGGGCCCACAGACAGACGAGGGGGTGCAGCTGCAGATCATCAAGGTCTGGCAGGGATCCCATCCATCTTAAACATCTCCTTTTATGTATAGCTACATATTTATATAGATATAGTACCAGTCAAAAGTTTGGACACACCTACTCATTCAAGGTTTTTTCTTTATTTTCACTATTTTCTAATAATAATAATATGCCATTTAGCAGACGCTTTTATCCAAAGCGACTTACAGTCATGCGTGCATAAATTTTTGTGTATGGGTGGTCCCGGGGATCGAACCCACTACCTTGGCGTTATAAGCGCCGTGCTCTACCAGCTGAGCTACAGAGGACCACATTGTAGAATAACAGTGAGGACATCAACACTATGAAATAACACATGGAAGTAACCAAAAAAGTGTTAAATCAAAATATATTTTATATTTCAGATTTTCCAAATTAGCCACCATTTGCCTTGGTGACAGCTTTGTACACTGTTGGCATTCTCTCAACCAGCTTCATGAGGTAGTCACCTGGAATGCATTTCAATTAACAAGTGTGCCTTGTTAATTTGTGGAATTTCTTTCCTTCTTAATGCGTTCGAGGCAATCAGTTGGAGGTATACAGAAGATATCCCTATTTGGTAAAAGACCAAGTCCATATTATGGCAAGAACAGCTCAAATAAGCAAAGAGAAATGACAGTCCATCATTTCTTTTAAGACATGAAGGTCAGTCAATACGGAAAATGTTAAGAACTTTGAAAGTTTCTTCAAGTGCAGTCGCAAGAACCATCAAGAGCTATGATGAAACTGTCTCTCATGAGGACCGCCACAGGAATGGAAGACCCAGAGTTACCTCTGCTGCAGAGGATACGTTCATTAGAGTTACCAGCCTCAGAAATTGCAGCCCAAATAAATGCTTCACAGAGTTCAAGTCACAGACACATCTCAACATCAACTGTTCAGAGGGGACTGTGTGAATCAGGCCTTCATGGTCAAATTGCTGCAAAGAAACCACAACTAAAGGACACCAATAAGAAGAAGAGACCTGCTTGGGCCAAGAAACACGAGAAATGGACATTAGAACGTTGGAAATCTGTCCTTTTGGTCTGATGAGTCCAAATTTGAGATTTTTGGTTCCAACCGCCGTGTCTTTGTGAGACGCGGTGTGGGTGAACGGATGATCTCTGCATGTGTAGTTCCCACCGTGAAGCATGGAGGAGGAGGTGTGATGGTGTGGGGGTGCTTTGCTGGTGAGACTCTGTGATTTATTTAGAATTCAAGGCACACTTAACCAGCACGGCTACCACAGCATTCTGCAGCGATACACCATCCCATCTGGTTTGGGCTTAGTGGGACTATCATTTGTTTTTCAACAGGACAATGACCCAACACACCTCCAGGCTGTGTAAGGGCTATTTTACCAAGAAGGAGAGAGATGGAGTGCTGCAACATGATGACCTGGCCTCCACAATCCCCTGACCTCAACCCAATTGAGATGGTTTGGGATGAGTCGGACCGCAGAGTGAAGGAAAAGCAGCCAACAAGTGCTCAGCATATGTGGGAACTCCTTCAAGACTATTGGAAAAGCATTCCAGGTGAAGCTGGTTGAGAGAATGCCAAGAGTGTGCAAAGCTGTCATCAAGGCAAAGGGTGGCTACTTTTGAAGAATCTCAAATATAAAATATATTTTGATTTGATTAACACTTTTTTTTGGTTACTACATGATTCCATATGTGTTATTTCATAGTTTTGATGTCTTCACTATTATTCTACCATGTAGAAAATAGTAAAAAGAAAGAAAAACCCTTGAATGAGTAGGTGTGTCCAAACCTTTGACTGGTACTATATATATATATATATATATATATATATATATATATATATATATATATATATATATATATATATATATTATCCCCTAGTTGCCTCTCAGGACAAATTGCTGCAGATTCTTTTCCACACCCCATTCCCAATAGTTATACTACAGATATATCCGGTGGCACATCCGTCTCTGATGACTGTTCAGTCAGGCGTGATGCGTAACCAGAGCTCATTTCAGCTTCCCATATTGGTGCTCCAGAGTTGAGGGTCCAAAGTCTGGCTTGTTCATACAAGCTACCCGTCAGTATTATCATGGTTGATAACAGGTTTTATTGGACTGACCAACATTCCTACCCATATTTGAAAGACATATATATCAAGATAATTAATCTATAATTCACAAAGGTAGTTAAAGGCGGTATTTATTCTCTGTCCCCTGTCTGTCAAAATTCCGGGAACTTTCAATAAATTCCCTGGTTTTCCCAGAAGTCCTGGTTGGAGGAATCTGGATTAAACTGCTTATTCCCTTCTGATTCCAGAAATCCTGGTTGGAGGATTCTGGGAAAAGCAGGCAATTTATTGGAAGTTCCCAGAATTGTGCAACCCTAGTCCTGACCCCTCTGTCTGTTCTCCTGCAGGCTCTGCTGACGGCAGTGACCTCCCCTCACATTGAGATCCATGAGGGAACTGTTCTGCTGACAGTGCGTACCTGTTACAACATCTACCTGGCCAGCCGTAACCTCATCAACCAGACCACCGCCAAGGCCACGCTCACACAGATGCTCAATGTCATCTTCACCCGCATGGAGACACAGGCGGTTAGTGTACTACTGTCACCTGTCCAGACCCGCTCAGTTCAGTCTCATATCTACACAGTCGTCTACAACAAGCACTTGACGCAATCATAAATGCTGGTCTGTATCATCTTAGAGCAAGCTGCTTGAGTATCTGGATTGAAACTAGATTGGAAATGTATACCCTCCTTGTATCTCAGTCATTTCTCCATAAGTGTATTTGTGTCTCTATCCTGAGTAGGTGTGTAACAGCCTGTGTCTCCTAGTCCTATTAGCTGACTGGTTCGGCTGGGATTGACATGCTGTTAGTTTGGTAGTCTGACTAGTTGTGTTGATCATGGCCGGTCTGTTCATCTCCCTGCATCTATACAGGCTATGGAGGCTCTGGAGAAGGATAGACTATGTCTGCCCCAGCAGAACCCCTCCCCTTCCCCTGGGCAGATGTCTGGTGGTTCCCCCACGTCAGACTGCACCCCAGACCTCAACTGGACCCCCTCTTCTGCAGCCAGCACACCGGACCTTAATGCCACGCCCCCGGCCCCAGACACACCCTCCATCAATGGCCAACCAGAGGAGTGCAAGACTGAGGAGGGTGTGGCTACTACAGAGGAGAACAGAGAGCAGACACCACCTCCAGGTATTGTCCTTGGTCGTATTCATACTTAGCATAGATCAGTGCTGTTTCTGGAGAGCTACCCTCCTGTAGGTTTTCACTCCAACCCTGTTCCTGGAGAGCTACCCTCCTGTAGGTTCACACCAGGGCTCTCCAACCCTGTTCCTGGAGAGCTACCGTCCTGTAAGTTTTCACTCCAACCTTAATCTAGCACACCTGATTCTAATAATTAGCTGGTTGATAAGCTGAATCAGGTTAGTTACAACTGGGGTTGGACTGAAAACCTATAGGAGTGTAGCTCTCCAGGAACAGGGTTGGAGAGCCCTGGCGTGAACCTACAGGAGGGTAGCTCTCCAGGAACAGGGTTGGAGAGCCCTGGCGTGAACCTACAGGAGTGTAGCTCTCCAGGAACAGGGTTGGAGAGCCCTGGTGTGAACCTACAGGAGGGTAGCTCTCCAGGAACAGGGTTGGAGTGAACCTACAGGAGGGTAGCTCTCCAGGAACAGGGTTGGAGTGAAAACCTAAAGGAGGGTAGCTCTCCAGGAACAGGGTTGGAGAGCTCTGCCAAAGATCATGTGCTTTCATTGTATGACATTTCTGAAGCCGACGTCATCCTCATTAATTTGACACTTACTCTTTTTCCTCATCAATAGTTTTTAATGATCCACTTCCATTAACACAGTCAGAGGAAGGGGATGAAGTGGGAGAGGGGGAGAAATCAGAAGTACGGGAGAAGGACAGGGGGTGAAATCAGAAGTACGGGAGAGCAGGACATCGGGAGTAGGACAGGGGAGAAATCAGAAGTAGGGGAGAAGGACAGGGGAGAAATCAGAAGTAGGGGAGAAGGACAGGGGAGAAATCAGAAGTAGGGGAGAAGGACAGGGGAGAAATCAGAAGTAGGGGAGAAGGACAGGGGAGAAATCAGAAGTAGGGGAGAGCAGGACAGGGAGAGAAATCAGAAGTTGATTCAAAGCAACAGAGCAACCAACGACAGATATTGTGGAGGAAGTGGCCGCAGAACCTGAACCAGAACCACAGCCCCAAACTGTACATTTACATTTACATCATTTAGCAGACGCTCTTATCCAGAACGACTTAGTTAGTGAGTGCATACATTATAAAAAAAAAAAAATAATCATACTGGCCCCCGTGGGAATCGAACCCACAACCCTGGCGTTGCAAACGCCATGCTCTACCAACTGAGCTACATCCCTGCCGGCCATTCCCTCCCCTACCCTGGACGACGCTGGGCCAATTGTGCGCCGCCCCATGGGTCTCCCGGTCGCGGCCGGCTACGACAGAGCCTGGATTTGAACCAGGATCTCTAGTGGCACAGCTAGCACTGCGATGCAGTGCCTTAGACCACTGCACCACTCGGGAGGTTTTGTAATTGGTCAGTAATTGGTTGTGATCGGAGTGGCTGGGCTATCATTTACACACCTGTATCAAGGTTCCTGCCTTCTAGTTTTTCCAGGCCACTTTGTGAAAACTGCTGATGTAAAAAGGACTTTATATAATACATTTGATTGCATCTGACTGGTCTGTTCCACCCCTCCACACAGAAGGGGATCGTCCCCCACCCATACCCCCAGAGCACCCTGAGGCGATGCCCCCTACACCCAGGACAGACAGGAACCAGATGAACGGCATTATGGGTGACCGTGGTTCTGTGTCCTCTACAGACGTCTTGGTGAGTGATCTCTTATCCTGGAATGAGGATGGGTCACATCAAAGGTTCTATGGGAACAGTGATTCCTGATGATATTTGCCCCTATGAATTATAAATAGTTATGCTCATTTTAGTTATATATTGACAATTGCATGGTGCAGTTAAAGCTGTTCTGTTAGTTATTTTTTTGTCTTTGTCTCTTTCAGGATGCAGAGTCCATTCAGGGTGGCCAGAACACGGCTCGTTTCTCCCACATCCTGCAGAAAGATTCTTTCCTGGTGTTCCGCTCCCTCTGCAAGCTCTCCATGAAGCCGCTTGCGGACGGACCCCCTGACCCAAAGTGAGACATGATCCACTAGTCCTTCAGCCCTTGCTTCCCCTCTGTTCACACACACAGCTTCTCTTGTCCCTTTGGTCTCATCACCAAAACCAAGTCCAAATGTTCTCCTGGCTTTCTCTTCTATCCAAAGCGACCAACTAACCTGGCATGCGCTACTAGCTATGCTACAGAGGACCTCCAGGCCCCAATACAACACTATATAACTAGCTGCCATTTGCTCGATATAGCTAGAGTGTTTTAAAGATCTGTAGGTTTTCTGGAGGTTTTAAATTCTGGACTGGGCTTCTTCAGTTACTGTAATGTAAAACCCTGAGGCTGGGAGTCTGAATAGATGAATGCTGAACCTGATCACTGCATCCAAACATAAGAGAGGGACTCGCTCTAATTTAACCCTAAATACCTTTATTGTACCAAGGCTCTAGACTGTACAATACATTCCTATACTACACTGTTCAATATTTACACCCCTCACCATCTTCTTTGGCTCTTTGTCTTAATCTCTCCTTTCTCCAACTTCTTCTTTCCCCTCTTCCTCTCCGCTGCTTTTGACCTTCCCTCCCTATCTTTCATCCTCTCCTCCCCCCTCCCTCTCTCTCCCCCTCCCCCCTCCCTCTCTCTCCCCCTCCTCTCCTCCCCCCTCCCTCTCTCTCCCCCTCCCCCCTCTCTCTCCCCCTCCCCCTCCCTCTCTCCCCCTCCCCCTCCCTCTCTCTCCCCCCTCCCCTCCCTCTCCTCTCCTCCCCCCTCCCTCTCTCTCCCCCTCCCCCCCTCTCTCTCTCCCCCTCCCCCTCCCTCTCTCTCCCCCTCCCCTCCCTCTCTCTCCTCCCCCCTCCCTCTCTCTCTCCTCCCCCCTCTCTCCCCCCCCCCTCCCTCTCTCTCCCCCTCCCCTCCCCCTCTCTCTCCTCCACCCTCCCTCCCTCTCTCTCCTCCCCCTCCCCTCCCTCTCTCCCCTCCCCCTCCCTCCCTCTCCTCCCCCCCTCCCTCTCTCTCCCCCTCCCCTCAGGTCCCATGAGCTGCGCTCCAAGGTGGTGTCCCTGCAGCTGCTGCTGTCTGCGCTCCAGGGGGCGGGGCCTGTCTTCCGCACCCACGAGATGTTTGTCAATGCCATCAAGCAGTACCTGTGTGTGGCCCTCTCTAAGAACGGTGTCTCCTCTGTGCCCGAGGTGTTCGAGCTCTCCCTCGCCATCTTCCTCACCCTGCTCTCCCACTTCAAAGTCCACCTCAAGATGCAGATCGAGGTGTGGGATGCAGGAGTTACATATCCATTTAATCTGTGATTTTAGTTTGAATCCTGTCACTCAATTCAGAATAGGCAACAGGGAATGAAAATAAATGATGCGGCTACGTACCATCTTTCCTCCCCTCACACTCCCTACCCTCCTCTCTCTACGATCCTCCCCTCGCGCTCTCTCTCTACGCTCCTCCCCTCGCGCTCTCTCTCTACGATCCTCCCCTCGCGCTCTCTCTCTACGCTCCTCCCCTCGCGCTCTCTCTCTACGCTCCTCCCCTCGCGCTCTCTCTCTACCCTCCTCCCCTCACTCTCTCTACCTCTCTCAGGTGTTCTTCAGGGAGATTTTCCTGACCATCCTGGAAACGTCATCCAGCTCCTTTGAACACAAGTGGATGGTCATTCAGACACTGACACGGATATGTGCAGGTAAAAACACACAGACCTGATGGAGACGTTGCTGTTTGTGTACAATACACCACCTTAACCCTCATTTTGACCGGTCTCATTGTATTCTTCCCTCCCCTCTTCAAACCCTTCACACCAGATGCTCAGTGTGTGGTGGATATCTATGTGAACTACGACTGTGACCTGAACGCTGCAAACATCTTTGAGCGTCTGGTGAATGACCTGTCTAAGATTGCCATGGGGAGGAGTGGCCAGGAGATGGGGATGACCCCTCTACAGGTGACCTTACACTGACCTGTCAGTAGTTACATACCAAATATGGTCAGAATTAGAATCACCTTTATTCGCCAAGTACATTGACACAGTCAGAAATGGACTTGGTGGTATGGTGCCTCTAGTGATCTACAACATCTAGAGACAGTTATACATTATATACAAAATCATGGTTGTCTATTTGTCTGATTCTGTGTGTTCTAAAGTGTTTTTGAGCTCCGTAAATGATGTGACTGACCGTTAACAGGAGAGCTATTTTCCAGGAGTTGAGTCTGCGTAAGAAGGGCCTGGAGTGTCTGGTGTCCATTCTGAAATGCATGGTGGAGTGGAGCAGAGAAATGTATGTCAACCCCAACCTGCAGACCAACCTCGGTGAGTGTAATGTCTGTAGCTGTGTTTGTGTCTGTAGCTGTGTTTGTGTCTGTAGCGGTGTGTGTCTGTCTGTAGCGGTGTGTCTGTAGCGGTCTGTCTGTCTGTAGCGGTGTGTGTGTGTGTGTCTTGACCCTGCTGTATATGTGTGTGACCCAGGCCAGGAGCGGCCGTCGGATGGTGAGGGTGCGGAGCTAAATCTTCCTGACCAGCTGGCGTCTCGTAGAGACAGCGTCAGTTCTCTGGACTCCACCATGTCGTCTAGTGTCCAGTCCTCCCAGCCTGACCACCCAGAACAGTATGAGGTCATCAAACAACAGAAGGACGTCATCGAACATGGCATTGAGCTGTGAGTCCCACTCTTTCTCTGTATCAGTCAGTCTGGGAGATGTCTCGTGGCCTATCTAATGATGTATCAGTCTGGGAGATGTCTCGTGGCCTATCTAATGATGTATCAGTAGTAGCCATAGATTATTTTTGTCGCCATCTCTCAAGGTTCAACAAAAAGCCCAAGCGAGGTATCCAGTACTTACAAGACCAAGGCATGCTGGGAACCACAGCAGAGGAAATCGCCCAGTTCCTGCATCAAGAGGAGCGCCTGGATACGGTGAGCAACTCCCCACAACCTCATAGCCTTCATCCACCTTGTATCACTGGGCAAATAATCAGTAGCCTCTCTAGAGAGTATGTAACAACAGGAAGTTATTGTGATGTACTCTGCCTTGAGTTTGTACAAGAAAAGGTTGTCATTGTAAATGCCAGGTCGTTATTGTAAATGCCAGGTCGTTATTGTAAATGCCATCTTACGAAGGCCTTGATGCCGATGCGTAAAGCTTATTAAAGAGCAGCGATACTATCAAGAGCAGTGTGCAGGTTATTTTTCTCAAATGGCATTGTTTATAACTAATTTCTGTGGTTATATAAAGGTTAAATAAAAAGGTGTGTAAGAGTTTCCTGTCTGACTCAGCTCTTCATCTTCCTCTCTCCCCTCTATAGACCCAGGTAGGGGAGTACTTGGGAGAAAACATGCGTTTCAACAAGGAGGTGATGTACAGCTATGTGGACCTGCTGGACTTCTGTGGCCGGGACTTTGTTTCTGCTCTGAGGGCTTTCCTGGAGGGCTTCCGGCTCCCAGGAGAGGCCCAGAAGATTGACAGGCTCATGGAGAAGTTTGCTGCCAGATATCTGGAGTGTAACCAGGGGTAAGGAATATGGCTGTCAGTGGCTGTATGCTACCTGAAGGGGGAGGCATTGAGATTTTATACACTCTCTGGAAACATGTCATGAAGAACATCCTCAATTATATATACTGTGTGGATGTAGCCTCTTTGAATATTCATTCTTTAATCTCTGTGTTAGATTGATGTACTCTTGAATCCAGCTGATCTTGCCCCTACAGACAGACAGAGTTTGCCAGTGCAGACACGGCCTACGTCTTGGCCTACTCCATCATCATGCTCACCACAGACCTGCACAGTCCACAGGTCAGAACACCATCCAATCAGTCAGTCCATTTAAAAAATATATATATATACATACATACATACATACATACAGTTGAAGTCGGAAATTTACATACACTTAGGTTGGAGTCATTAACTCGTTTTTCAACCACTCCACACATTTCTTGTTAACAAACTATAGTTTTGGCAAGTTGGTTAGGACATCTACTTTGTGCATGACACAAGTAATTTTTCCAACAATTGTTTACAGACAGATTATGTCACTTATAATTCACTGTATCACAATTCCAGTGGGTCACACGTTTACGTACACTAAGTTGACTGTACCTTGAAACAGCTTGGAAAATTGCAGAAAATGATGTCATGGCTTTAGAAGCTTCTGATAGGATAATTGACATCATTTGAGTCAATTGGAGGTGTACCTGTGGATGTATTTCAAGGCCTACCTTCAAACTCACTGCGTCTTTGCTTGACATCATGGGAAAATCAAAAGTAATCAGCCAAAACCTCAGAAAATTGTCTGCTTCATCCTTGGGAGCAATTTCCAAACGCCTGAAGGTACCACGTTTATCTGTACAAACAATAGTACGCAAGTATAAACCCCATGGGACCACGCAGCCATCATACCGCTCAGGAAGGAGACTCATTCTGTCTCCTATATATGAACGTACTTTGGTGCGAAAAGTGCAAATCAATCCCAGAACAACAGCAAAGGACATTGTGAAGATGCTGGAGGAAACGGGTACAAATGTATCTATATCCACAGTAAAACGAGTCCTATATCGACATAACCTGAAAGGCCGCTCAGCAAGGAAGAAGCCACTGCTCCAAAACCGCCATAAAAAAGCCAGACTACGGTTTGCAACTGCACATGGGGACAAAGATCATACTTTTTGGATAAATGTCCTCTGGTCTGATGAAACAAAAATAGAACTGTTTGGCCATAATGACTATTGTTATGTTTGGAGGAAAAAGGGGGCTGCTTTTCTTAAAATAAAGTGGTGATCCTAACTGACCTAAGATAAGGAATTTTTACTAGGATTAAATGTCAGGAATTGTGAAAAACTGAATTTAAATGTATTTGGCTAAGGTGTATGTAAACTTCCGACTTCAATTGTACATACATACATACAGTACCAGTCAAAAGTTTGGACACACCTACTCATTCAAGGGTTTTTCTTTATTTTTCTACATTGTAGAATAATAGTGAAGACATCGAAACTGTGAAATAACACATATGGAATCATGTAGTAAGCAAAAATGTGTCAAACAAATCAAAGTATATTTTATATTTGAGATTCTTCAAATTAGCCACCCTTTGCCTTGATGACAGCTTTGCACACTGTTGGCATTCTCTCAACCAGCTTCACCTGGAATGCTTTTCCAACAGTCTTGAAGGAGTTCCCACATATGCTGTGCACTTGTTGGCTGCTTTTCCTTCACTCATCCCAAACCATCTCAATTAGGTTGAGGTCGGGTGATTGGGGAGGCCAGGTCATCTGATGCAGCACTCCATCACTCTCCTTCTTGGTCAAATAGCCCTTACACAGCCTGGAGGTGTGTTGGGTCATTGTCCTGTTGAAAAACAAATGATAGTCCCACTAAGCGCATACCAGATGGGATGGCGTATCGCTGCAGAATGCTGTGGTAGCCACGCTGGTTAAGTGTGCCTTGAATTCTAAATAAATCACTGACAGTGTCACCAGCAAAGCGCCCCCACACCATCAAACCATCTCCGCCATGCTTCACGGTGGGACCCACACATGCGGAGATCATCCGTTCACCTACTATGCGTCTCACAAAGACACGGCAGTTGTAACCCATAATCTCTAATTTTCTTGAGCCAATTTCCTCCAACAACAGGACAATGACCCAAAGCACAGCTCCAAACTATGCAATAACTATTTAGGGAAGAAGCAGTCAGCTGGTATTCTGTCTATAATGGAGTGGCCAGCACAGTCACTGGATCTCAACCCTATTGAGCTGTTGTGGGAGCAGCTTGACCGTATGGTACGTAAGAAGTGCCCATCAATCCAACTTGTGGGAGATGCTTCAGGAAGCATGGGGTGAAATCTCTTCAGATTACGTCAACAAATTGACAACTAGAATGCCAAAGGTCTGCAAGGCTGTAATTGCTGCAAATTGAGAATTATTTGACGAAAGCAAAGTTTGAAGGACACAATTATTATTTCAATTAAAAATCATTATTTCTAACCTTGTCAATGACTACATTTCCTATTCATTTTGCTATATTTCCTATTCAAACTCATTTCATGTATGTTTTCATTGAAAACAAGGACATTTCTAAGTGACCTCAAACTTTTTAACAGTAGTGCATATATATATAGAAATTATCAGTTAGGGGGTTAGGGTTAAATATGTGTGTGTGTATATGTATGTATATACATACATACATACATACATACATACATACACAGTGAGGGGGAAAAAGTATTTGATCCCCTGCTGATTTTGTAAGTTTGCCCACTGACAAAGAAATTATCAGTCTATCATCAGAAAGATTTCTGGCTCCCAGGTGTCTTTTATACAGGTAACGAGCTGCGATTAGGAGCACACTTAAAGGCAGTGCTCCTAATCTCAGCTTGTTACCTGTATAAAAGACACCTGTCCACAGAAGCAATCAATCAATCAGATTCCAAACTCTCCACCATGGCCAAGACCAAAGAGCTCTCCAAGGATGTCAGGGACAAGATTGTAAACCTACACAAGGCTGGAATGGGCTACAAGACCATCGCCAAGCAGCTTGGTGAGAAGGTGACAACAGTTGGTGCGATTATTTGCAAATCAGCCCAAAACTACACGGGAGGATCTTGTCAATTATCTCAAGGCAGCTGGGACCATAGTCACCAAGAAAACAATTGGTAACACACTACGCCGTGAAGGACTGAAATCCTGCAGCGCCCGCAAGATCCCCATGCTCAAGAAAGCACATATACAGGCCCGTCTGAAGTTTCCCAGTGAACATCTGAATGATTCAGAGGAGAACTGGGTGAAAGTGTTGTGGTCAGATGAGACCAAAATCGAGCTCTTTGGCATCAACTCAACTCGCCGTGTTTGGAGGAGGAGGAATGCTGCCTATGACCCCAAGAACACCATCCCCACCGTCAAACATGGAGGTGGAAACATTATGCTTTGGGGGTGTTTTTCTGCTAAGGGGACAGGACAACTTCACCGCATCAAAGGGATGATGGACGGGGCCATGTACCATCAAATCTTGGGTGAGAACCTCCTTCCCTCAGCCAGGGCATTGAAAATGGGTCGTGGATGGGTATTTTATGGGCACATTAAGGTCCTGGAGTGGCCTAGCCAGTAGAAAATCTGTGGAGGGAGCTGAAGGTTCGAGTTGCCAAACGTCAGCCTCGAAACCTTAATGACTTGGAGAAAATCTGCAAAGAGGAGTGGGACAAAATCCCTCCTGAGATGTGTGCAAACCTGGTGGCCAACTACAAGAAACGTCTGACCTCTGTGATTGCCAAAAGGGTTTTGCCACCAAGTACTAAGTCATGTTTTGCAGAGGGGTCAAATACTTATTTCCCTCATTGAAATGCTAATCAATTTATAACATTTTTGACATGCGTTTTTCTGGATTTTTTTGTTGTTACTCTGTCTCTCACTGTTCAAATAAACCTACCATTAAAATTATAGACTGATCATGTCAGTGGGCAAACGTATAAAATCAGCAGGGGATCAAATACTTTTTTTCCCTCACTGTATATTTGTATGTGTGTGTGTGTAAGACGCTTTTATCCAAAGCTATTTAGTCATGCATACATTTTATGTATGGGTGGTCCCGGGAATCGAACCCACTACCCAGGTCTTACATGCTCTACCAACTGAGCTACAAAGGACCAAAAAGTTTTCATGCATTGAACTCACAACCTTCCTTTGGGAACCAACCACTACTCTACCAGACAGACATTCATCCATACACCAGTTATTTTAATGAACTGTTGTTCCCCACCCACCGTTACGTTATGTTACAGGTGAAGAACAAAATGACGAAGGAGCAGTACATCAAAATGAACCGTGGCATCAACGACAGTAAGGACCTGCCCGAGGAGTACCTGTCCTCCATATACGATGAGATCGCTGGCAAGAAGATCGCCATGAAGGACAGCAAGGAGCACACCATCACACCCAAGACTATCAAGCACAGTAAGCAGAGAGGACCGGGGTGACGAAGCAGAGACATGTATTTAGATAGTTGGGCCAACATTTTAGAATATATTTCGGATTCTAGACATTCAGTTATTGTTTAAATATTCCCTATGTAATGTTAATGTGGAGCTAACACGGTTGGCGTATAATGTTGCGGTGTCATTTTAAATGCAAAAACCTCAATGTCCCAACTCTCTAAATACATGGCTCTGTGACAAACTATCTAATCTTGAATATATATATATATATATATACATACAGGTAAAAGTCAGTAAATTAGAATATTTTGAAAAACTTGATTTATTTCAGTAATTGCATTCAAAAGGTGTAACTTGTACATTATATTTATTCATTGCACACAGACTGATGCATTCAAATGTTTATTTCATTTAATTTTGATGATTTGAAGTGGCAACAAATGAAAATCCAAAATTCCGTGTGTCACAAAATTAGAATATTGTGTAAGGGTTACATTTTGAAGACACCTGGTGCCACAAAATAATCAGCTGATTAACTCAAAACACCTGCAAAGGGCTTTAAATGGTCTCTCAGTCCAGTTCTGAAGCCTACACAAACATGGGGAAGACTTCAGATTTGACAGCTGTCCAAAAGGCGACCATCGACACATTGCACAAGGAGGGAAAGACACAAAAGGTTATTGCAGAAGAGGCTGGCTGTTCTCAGAGCTCTGTGTCCAAACACATTAATAGAGAGGCAAAGGGAAGGAAAAACTGTGGTCAGAAAAAGTGTACAAGCGATAGGGATCACCGCGCCCTAGTCAAGATTGTGAAAAAAAACCCATTCAAAAATGTGGGAGAGATTCACAAGGAGTGGACAGCTGCTGGAGTCAGGGCTTCAAGATCCACCACCAAGAGACGCTTGAAAGACATGGGTTTCAACTGCCGCATACCTCGTGTCAAGCCACTGTTGACCAAGAAACAGCGCGAAAAGCGTCTCACCTGGGCTAAGGAAAAAAAGAGCTGGACTGCTGCTGAGTGGTCTAAAGTCATGTTTTCTGACGAAAGCAAATTTTGCATTTCCTTTGGAAATCGAGGTCCCAGAGTCTGGAGGAAGACAGGAGAGGCACAGGATCCACGTTGCCTGAAGTCTAGTGTAAAGTTTCCACCATCAGTGATGGTTTGGGGTGCCATGTCATCTGCTGGTGTCGGTCCACTCTGTTTCCTGAGATCAAGGGTCAACGCAGCCGTCTACCAGCAAGTTTTAGAGCACTTCATGCTTCCTGCTGCTGACCTGCTCTATGGAGATGGAGATTTCAGGTTCCAACAGGACTTGGCGCCTGCACACAGCGCAAAATCTACCCGTGCCTGGTTTACGGACCATGGTATTTCTGTTCTAAATTGGCCAGCCAACTCCCCTGACCTTAGCCCCATAGAAAATCTGTGGGGTATTGTGAAAAGGAAGATGCAGAATGCCAGACCCAACAACGCAGAAGAGTTGAAGGCCACTATCAGAGCAACCTGGGCTCTCATAACACCTGAGCAGTGCCAGAAACTCATCGACTCCATGCCACGCCGCATTAATGCAGTAATTGAGGCAAAAGGAGCTCCAACCAAGTATTGAGTATTGTACATGCTCATATTTTTCATTTTCATACTTTTCAGTTGGCCAACATTTCTAAAAAATCCCTTTTTTGTATTAGCCTTAAGTAATATTCTAATTTTGTGACACACGGAATTTTGGATTTTCATTTGTTGCCACTTCAAATCATCAAAATTAAATGAAATAAACATTTGAATGCATCAGTCTGTGTGCAATGAATAAATATAATGTACAAGTTACACCTTTTGAATGCAATTACTGAAATAAATCAAGTTTTTCAAAATATTCTAATTTACTGACTTTTACCTGTATATATATATATATTTTTTTTTTTTTGTAATTTAGCAGACGCTTTTATCCAGAGCGACTTACAGGAGCAATTAGGGTTAAGTGCCTTGCTCAAGGGCACATCGACAGATTTTTCACCTAGTCGGCTCGGGGATTAGAACCAGCGACCTTTCGGTTACTGGCACAACGCTCTTAAGCACTAAGCTACCTGCCACCCTGTATCAGCTGAACCCCTACACCAACCTGCCCAGGGGGAATTGTATCCCTACAGGTTGCCTAGGAAACGTAGGTGTTGGTCATGTGATAATCTCTGTTAACCCAGAACTAATATTTTACACAATTTTGTCAGATGTTTATGTAGTCTGTCCACAAGAGATTAGTCATGTGATCATGTGGGCGGTCTCTCTTTGCAGGCATAGCCAATGAGAAGCAGCGCCGTCTACTGTATAACGTTGAGATGGAACAGATGGCGAAGACAGCCAATGCCCTGATGGAGGCTGTGAGCCACGCCCAGGCCCCCTTCTTCAGCGCCACCCACCTGGAGCACGTCCGGCCCATGTTCAAGGTACCGTAGAGCAGAGCCGGCCAGCCCCAAATCAAATGTATTTTATAAAGCCTTTTTCTTTTTTTTACATCGGCAGTTATCACAAAGTGCTTTACAGATACCCAGCCTAAAACCCCAAAGAGTTGAACGTTTTATTAGTCGTATGTACAGGATACACATGGTATACAGAGTCCAATGAAATGCTTACTTACAGCTTCCTTCTGGACAATGCAACAACAATAAGAAATAATACAAAGATAAGAATATGAACATAAAGTAAATGGCTCAGTAGAACAGAATACCCATTGTAGCATAAGCATAGTACAGGAAGGCACAATTTATAGTCCCAATATTTACACGTTTTGGGGAATGGGGGACAAGTGTATACATTGAGCAGTATAATAAGAGTCTGGTAACAGCAGTTGTGGTGTGTGTGTGTGTGTGTACATGAATGTACTGAGTGTACAAAACATTATGAACAGCTCTTTCCATGACATAGACTGCAGGTGAATCCAAGTGAAAGCTATGATCCCTTATTGATGTCACTTGTTAAATCCACTTCAATCTGTGTAGATGAAGGGGAGCAGACAGGTTAAAGAATAATTTCTAAGCCTTGAGACTATTGAGACATGGATTGTGTATGTGTGCCATTGAGGGTGAATGGGCAAGACAAAATATTTAAGTGCCTTTGAACAGGGTATTGTAGTAGGTGCCAGGCGCACCAGTTTGAGTGTGAGAAGAACTGCAACCCTGCTTGGTTTTTCACGCTCAGCAGTTTCCCGTGTGTATCAAGAATGGTCCACCACCCAAAGGATATCCAGCCAACTTGACACAACTGTGGGAAGCATTGGGGTCAACATTGGCCAGCATCCCTGTGGAATGCTTTTGACACCTTGTAGAGTCCATGCCCTGACAAATTGAAGCTGTTCTGAGGGAGGTGGGGGGGGGGGGGTGCAACTCAATATTAGGAAGGTGTTTTTAATGTTTTGTACACTCAGTGTGGGTGTGTGCATGAGTGAATGTATGTGTGCTAAGGTGCGGAGAATCAGAGCAGGTGGTCAGTCCAGTTCAAGTGTTCAGCGGTCTGATGGCTTGTAGATAGAAACTGTCTCTGAGCCTGTTGGTATCAGACCTCATGCTACGATACTGTCTGCCTGCCTGACGGTAAGCGAGGGAACAGCTCGTGGCTGGGGTGTGTGGAGTCCTTGATGATCCTACTTGCCTTCCTCAGGCACCGTTTCCAGTAGATGAAAAAATGTAGATGCAGAAGCCCAGACTGTCACCATCTGCAGTGGCTGTGATGGATAACGCTTGTGAATCTGTGCCAGAAGATGACTTCACCCTGTGTGTGTATTACGGAGTAAAAGGATTCAAGTGTGCTCTGCTCTGCTCTGCTCTGCTCTGCTCTGCCTGCCTGTGTGTTTCAGCTGGCGTGGACCCCTCTCCTGGCAGCGTTCAGTGTGGGCCTGCAGGACTGTGATGACCAGGAGGTGGCCTCTCTGTGTCTGGAGGGGATCCGCTGTGCTGTCAGGATTGCATGCGTCTTCAGTATGCAGGTTAGTTGGCTCCCTTGGCTACACAGCTAGACCACAGCTCCTTCACTAAATAATCTAATGTACCAACCTTAGGCTGTGTTTACACAGGCAGCCCAATTCTGATCTTTTTCCACTAGTAGTTTGTTTACCAATCAGATCAGCTCTTTTGCCAGTACTTGGGCTGCCTGTGTAAACACAGCCTTATAAACTTTCCACGGAACAGGATTATTTTTTATACCCCCATCAAATATAGTTCTAGACTTAACATGAACTTGAAAGCCCTGGAAAAGCCCGTTTTGTGTCTGTCTGTCATCTTTTAACATGTTCTCTTTGAATTACCTTTCTGTCTGTCTGTGGCTCTGTGCAGTTGGAGAGGGATGCGTATGTCCAAGCCTTGGCTCGGTTCACCCTGCTCACAGCCAGCTCCAGCATCACCGAGATGAAGCAGAAGAACATCGACACCATCAAGACCCTCATCACTGTGGCCCACACAGACGGAAACTACCTGGGCAACTCTTGGCATGAGGTAGGTCAGAGGACTTCCCCAAGATAGCCCACCTGGCCTTTCCATTCCTAACCCTGCCTCTCATCTCTTCTGTTAGTCAGGAATCCAACCCATATTATATCTGTGTCTCTTTTGCAAACAAAGGTAAGAAAGAAAGAGTGCAGAAAGAGAGCGTAGCACTCGGTAGAGACATTTTGAACAGAGCATTGAGGCTCACCCTGGCCCGTGTTTCTCTGTGCAGATCCTGCGGTGTATTAGCCAGCTGGAGTTGGCCCAGCTGATTGGCACGGGGGTGAAGCCGCGCTACATCTCTGGAGTGGTCCGGGATAGCCAGGCTGGCATCAAGGGCTTCCCCACCGGGGGAGAGGAGTTCATGCCCCTGGGACTGGGTAGGTCTCACAGGGCTCTGAACATCAAGGACATTGACTGTGTAAATGAGCACCCTATTCCCTATATAGTGCACTACTTTTGACCATGGCCCTGATCAAAAGTAGTGCACTATTTATGGGATAGGGTGCTGTTTGGCAAGTAACCAGTGTGTTAAATGTTTCCTTTTGTAGGGACCCTGGTGGGAGGTCCAGACCGGAGGCAGATGGCTCATATCCAGGAGTCAGTGGGAGAAACCAGCTCTCAGAGTGTAGTGGTGGCTGTGGACAGGTGAGAAACCAGCTCTCTGAGAGTAGTGGTGGCTGTGGACAGGTGAGGGACCAGCTCTCTGAGAGTAGTGGTGGCTGTGGACAGGTGAGAAACCAGCTCTCTGAGAGTAGTGGTGGCTGTGGACAGGTGAGAAACCAGCTCTCTGAGAGTAGTGGTGGCTGTGGACAGGTGAGGGACCAGCTCTCTGAGAGTAGTGGTGGCTGTGGACAGGTGAGAAACCAGCTCTCTGAGAGTAGTGGTGGCTGTGGACAGGTGAGAAACCAGCTCTCTGAGAGTAGTGGTGGCTGTGGACAGGTGAGAAACCAGCTCTCTGAGAGTAGTGGTGGCTGTGGACAGGTGAGAAACCAGCTCTCTGAGAGTAGTGGTGGCTGTGGACAGGTGAGAAACCAGCTCTCAGAGAGTAGTGGTGGCTGTGGACAGGTGAGAAACCAGCTCTCAGAGAGTAGTGGTGGCTGTGGACAGGTGAGAGAGATGCGTGGTAGGGCTGGGCGGTATACTATATTTCACTATATACAGGTATTGATGCACGGACCGGTTTGGGTTTTTACTTTACCTTGTATAACGGTATTTCAATGTTTGGCTTGTTAAATGTGTTACACCACTCCGGCACGTAATAATGTCAGTTTTTTTATAGTTTACTCCGTTTGCTACTTGAGTCGTCTCCCTCTCTGTCTTTCCACACACACCAAGCCCCGCCACCGTCACTCAAGGAGAGCAGTTTTTTGCACTACAACGAGTCACAACCGCTCGCAGTGACAGTCTGCATGGTCAATGCTGCTGATATTGGTGACAACGATGCTGATTTCCACATTGCTTCTTCGTATAAATCCACAGGTGTTCTATAATTACACTAATAGTTAGCAACATCAAAGCTACAGTAAGAGAAAACATTTAATGTAACATTAATTAGGGTCCACTGGGAAACACTGACCAATGCTTTGGTTCCTACCCTGTCACAATAACCCCTCCCTGGCTTTTTCATTCGTTGTCATGTCAAAGGGCCCACTATATTCCAACTTTTGGTTAAAGTTTGAATACTATAAAACAATCAGAAGAGAGAGCCCCATTTTTAAAATCACTTAGAATGTATGTGTTGCCACCCTGGGGTCACGCACTACTCATGAAGCATATTTAAAACTTGTATTATTCAAAAACCATAAATATCGTAAAATACCATAAAAATTTGAAAAATATTGTGATATTATATTTTGGCCACATCGCCCAGCCCTAACACATGGTCAACATCCACCCATGTCTGCAGTCAGACATCTATAATTTGTACATGACCTGCCTTTGCTTTGTTTGCAGGATCTTCACTGGCTCCACAAAGCTAGATGGAAATGCAGTTGGTAAGTGGATTTGTGCGTCTGTTTGTTTCTCTGTATGTGTGTGTCTGTCTGGCAATGTGTGTGCGTTTACTGACATTGTCCTGTGTCCTATTCCTAGTGGACTTTGTGCGGTGGTTGTGTGCGGTGTCCATGGATGAGCTGGCCTCCGCTCACCAGCCGAGGATGTTCAGTCTTCAGAAGATAGTAGAGATCTCCTACTACAACATGAACCGTATCCGTCTGCAGTGGTCACGCATCTGGCAGGTCATCGGAGACCACTTCAACAAGGTCAGCGCCTCCCTTCAGTAAGGAAGATTTCCCAGAACCAGATTAAGCCTATTTCTGGACTAAGAAACACTTTTTAGTGGAGATTCTCCATTGAGCATTGTTAATCCATCAGTAGTATTAAAGGGATACTTGTGGATAACATTATTGTCTCGTGTGTCCAGTATGAAGGAAGTTAGAGGAAGCATGCTAGCAGATACCCGTAGACTTCCAGTCATTGCGCTAATGCTACCTAGCATTAGCTTGCAAAACGACCTCCAACTTCCTTCGTACTGAACACAGAGACATGAATGGTATCCTCTAGTTCCTCCGACTCTGGGGAACTAGATAAAGGGCCTCATTGCCAAAATGCCGAAATATCCCTTTAATCTATTACTCTAACCTGGTTATGTAAAGACGTAGCCTAGCTATTAACTGTGGATCTATGCCTGTGTGTTTGCTGCTCTGCCAGGTGGGCTGCAACCCCAACGAGGACGTGGCCATCTTTGCGGTGGACTCTCTGAGGCAGCTGTCAATGAAGTTCCTGGAGAAAGGAGAGCTGGCTAACTTCCGCTTCCAGAAGGACTTCCTCCGGCCATTTGAACACATCGTGAAGAAGAACAGGTAGAGATGGACCAGGGGGAAGGGAGAGTTGTTGAAAGAGGAAACGTTGAAGGGAGTAAAGAGGGAGAGGTAATTTGGCACAATATTGAGGATATGAGGAAAAAACTCTCCCAGCACAGAACCAAATCCAGTCTACACACTCACAAAAAACCATTGACTGTTTGTCCCCCTCTCCCTCTCCTCCACAGGTCTCCCACTATCAGGGACATGGTGATCCGCTGTGTGACCCAGATGGTCAACTCTCAGGCAGCCAACATCCGCTCTGGCTGGAAGAACATCTTCTCTGTGTTCCACCAGGCCGCTTCCGATCACGACGAGACCATTGTGGAGCTGGCCTTCCAGACTACTGGCCACATAGTCAGTGAGTACAGTCAGTCACCTCAGGACTGGGGCTCACCATTTTCACTGAAAGTGCACGGCCAACTCGGTAGAGAAATGGACTGCTGAATAACTATTTTTCTCTCCTCCAGTGATCACGTTTCAGCAGCACTTTGCAGCAGCCATAGACTCCTTCCAGGATGCAGTGAAGTGTCTGTCTGAGTTTGTGTGCAACGCTGCCTTTCCTGACACCAGTATGGAGGCCATCCGGCTCATCCGCCACTGCGCTAAATATGTTGCAGACCGGCCGCAGGTAGGGACCAACACAGGCCCCGGGTAGGGACCAACACAGGCCGCGGGTAGGGACCAAACACAGGCCGCGGGTAGGTACCAAACACAGGCCGCGGGTAGGGACCAAACACAGGCCGCGGGTAGGGACCAAACACAGGCCGCGGGTAGGGACCAAACACAGGCCGCGGGTAGGGACCAAACACAGGCCGCGGGTAGGGACCAAACACAGGCCGCGGGTAGGGACCAACACAGGCCGCGGGTAGGGACCAACACAGGCCGCGGGTAGGGACCAACACAGGCCCCGGGTAGGACCCAATACAGGCCCCGGGTAGGACCCAATACAGGCCCCGGGTAGGGACCAACACATGCCCCGGGTAGGGACCAACACATGCCCCGGGTAGGGACCAACACATGCCCCGGGTAGGACCCAACACTTATGCCAACACGTATCCCTATACTTCTGTTATTTCTCCGCCTGCTCAGAAGTTTCCCTCCATGTTGGCAGAAGTTTCCCTCCATGTTGGCAGAAGTTTCCCTCCATGTTGGCAGAAGTTTCCCACCATGTTGGCAGAAGTTTCCCTCCATGTTGGCAGAAGTTTCCCTCCATGTTGGCAGAAGTTTCCCTCCATGTTGGCAGAAGTTTCCCTCCATGTTGGCAGAAGTTTCCCTCCACGTTGGCAGAAGTTTCACTCTCTGGACCAAGTGTGATGGCAACTATGTACTGTGGAGATACGGTGAAGTAAACGGTTTTAAACTAGAACCTAGTTATTGTGTCATTTGGAGTTAACATTGGTAGCAGAGGATGGCTGATAACTACAACGTGCCACCTCGCTTCGACGAGAAGAGGTCGTATGGAAGTTGGAGAAAGGAAGTTGGAATCTGGACATGGGTTACCAATCTGGATGAGAAAAAGCAAGCACTTGTGGTGGTATTATCGCTCGAGGCGAGAGCGAGGGATACAGCACTGGAAATATCCACGGAGGATTTGAACAAGGATGACTGTATGGGAACTTTGATCAGAGCACTGGATTCTGTGTTTCTTAAAGAAGAGAAAGACTGTGCCTACGAGGCATATTCAAACTTGAACAGTGTTAACTAGAGACATTTCGGTTGCAATGACGGACTACATCATTGATTTAGAACAGAGGTACAATAGGATGTGCAAGTACGACATGGTTCTCCCAGGATGCAGTGTTAAGCTTTCACGTTCCTAGATACTGCCTGTCTGAATGGTGGAGAGAAACAGTTTGCTTTGACTGCTTGTACTGTGCTGACTTTTGCGTCAATGAAGCCGGCACTAAAAAAAGATTTTGGGTGAAAAGATGGCTGTCGTGCCAATAACAGATGGAATGTGAGTGAGTGAGGTATAATACACTGAGCTGCAGAGCAAAGGCCCTAACAAGTCACGTTCTCAAGACAACCAGACGAGGGCGCCATTGCCCTGCACAAATCCACTGGACAGGTATGGAGGAGAACAAAGTGTGCTATTTGTCAAAGCATTTACCATTGGGTTAAAGACTGTCCTCATAAAAACGATCATGTTAAACCAACAGAGGAAAACGAGAGCAGAGAGAGCAGTGTAACGCTGTTTTCAAAAGAATCTGCTTCTGCTACTGAGGTCTCTATAGTTGAGTCCTTTAGGATCTGCTGTAAGTGATACTGCATGCACGCGCACAGTGTGTGGTGCTAAATGGCTTGGTAGCTATGTCATTGAACCAAATATGAAAGAAGTACACAATAAGAGAATCAAGATACCTGCAAAAATTGGTCAGATTAAGTGTCACATCATTGAAACAGAGGTGGTCCCTGCAGATATCCCCTTACTGAATGAATGAATGGAATTTTTTATGAAATGAATGAACATTTTTATTTTTCGTGTCAAATCTCAAGTTGGCAACCCCATCCCTTATGGGATTAATTGACACACAAACAAACATTACAATAATTCACTGTGATAATTCAGTGGTGATTGTTCTTACTACTCCCCTTGCTATTAAGCAAGGCTTCCCTCAAGAAGGCAGAGGCTGTACTAGACATTAGAAATGACAAGGCGGTGATGTTTAAACAACCAGTGACCCTTGAACTTACTACCTCAGGCCACTATTGTGTAAACATTTTAGACAAAGACATTACACAGAGTCCATGTGAAAAATGAGATTCTGAAGGACAGAACATATGGATATTCTGACAGTCACAGAGAACATGACCACAGAGGAAAAACATAAAGTATTGTTTAAATTTCACAAACAGTTTGGACATGCTACAGTTGACAGACTTCAGAAATAACTCAGTAGTTCTGGGAATAATGATTAATGAGAGTATTTCCATTCTACGGCAGATAGTGAGCAGTTGTGAAAAAAAAAAAACATTGTAAAGTGGTTGTACTTCTGGCTATAAGGTGAATGCACCAATTTGTAAGTCGCTCTGGATAAGAGCGTCTGCTAAATGACGTAAATGTAAATGTTGTGAGACACGCCAGAAGCACAGCAAACCTAAGCCCAGACCAGCTGTTGGTTTGCCACTGGCTTCCAAGTACAATGAAACAGTGGTTCTACACGAGCTAGGACTAAGTGTGTGGTACCTTCACGTAATCCACCACTTCACGCGCTTCAGTGCTGGAAGCATTGTGAATACAAAGAAACACAGTGACATCGTCAAGCACTTCATTCATTCCTGGAAAAGTGTGCATGGCTCGCCCCAGAAATTGTACAGTGACAATGGAGGAGAATTCAATAATGAGAGAAATTGCAGAGAAATTCAACATGGAAGTAAAGACAACTGCTGCATACAGTCCATGGAGCAATTGACTTCTGGAGAGACATAATCAAACACTCACAGAGATCATGCTGAAAGTGAAGCAAGACAATGGATTTGACTAGGAAAACAGCCCTAGATTGGGCGCTGATGGCAAAGAACTCGATGCACAATGTTCATGGCTACAGCCCATGCTTACTAGTGTTCGGACAGAACCCTAATCTAACCTCTGTACTGGTTGACAAGCCACCAGCACTAGAAGGGACCAGTGTGAGAGCGTGGGTGGGACAGCACCTTTCAGCACCACACACAGCGAGAAAAGCGTTCACTGAAGCAGGGGTGTTCAGAGAGAATTCGCAGCTTCGTCCCACAGATGAGAAGTACGAGACTGGAAACAAAGTGTACTACAAAGGAGTTGACTGTCGAGTGGAAAGGACCGGGAGTCGTCATTGGCCAAGATGGTGTGGCGATATTGGTGAGGCCCGAAGGCACCATTGTCAGGGTGCATCACTCAAGATTGTGGAAAGTAAATGATCAACAAGTTGGAGGGGCTGTTGCGGAGAGTCAGCCTCTCACCGAAAAGGACACATTAATAGGGACAAACCTATCAGATGTCTCATCCACTGATATGGACACTGAAACTGACACAGGAAATGGAGCAGAGACCTTCAACCATGACACAGGTAATATTGTTGAGGGTTCAAATGAGGAAAACGTTCAACAGCCACGTGTTAAACTGAAACCTAGTTGTTGTCATTTGGAGTTAAGAGACCACACAGGCCACAGGTAGGGACCACATAGAATCCCTAAGCACATCCCAAACCTAGATTACAAACTACTACAGTGCTCTCAAATCAAGCCTGCAAATCAAGCCTGCAGCCCTGTATGCCATCTGAGAATTTTGCATCATGGTGTTCCTGTTCCATTCCTCTGAGGGTCTTCCCGGGTCTGTCCCCAGGCTCTGCGGGAGTATACCAGTGATGACATGAATGTGGCCCCAGGGGACCGGGTGTGGGTGAGAGGCTGGTTCCCCATCCTCTTTGAGCTGTCCTGCATCATCAACCGCTGCAAGCTGGACATCAGGACCAGGTAAAACATCTGACCTCAGTTCTGCCTACAGGTATTGACCCATTTCCTGGCTGCGTCATGAAAGGTTGCGCACGCCGTTCCGAATCAGAACGCGGTTTGTTTTAAATGGAAGTAAATACGATCACGTCCGACTTCAGATGCAGCTTTGGCAAGTTAGCAAACACGTAATCGGATGGTTGTCTATAACATCGCAGATGTATTACCTAGCAAGCCAGTGAGGCAATGTAAAATATCCCAAATACAGTTAGATAAAGCCAGAAGAATAATATACTTGTTGAACATGGCTATAGCCATCAGTCTTGTGTTTTCATGGTCATCACTCACTGCTAAGTTTGCCATGGTTCCGACATCCGTGTATAGCTAGCTATCTGCTACAAGTATGTGCGCATCATTCGAACGTGACGTTTGCTTGAAAACCAAAAAATGGCTATATATGGCTGTAACCAACTTGGATGCTTTGAGCCCAATAGATATTCATGTATGATTGTGTGTGTCTTTCTGTCACAGGGGTCTGACTGTGATGTTTGAGATTATGAAGAGCTACGGACACACCTTTGAAAAGCACTGGTGGCACGACCTTTTCCGCATCGTCTTCCGCATCTTCGACAATATGAAGCTTCCTGAGCAGCAAACGGAGGTGAATGGCTGTAGTTATTGTCCTTACATACAGTGCATTCGGAAAGAAATTGAGAACCCTTCACTATTTTTCACAATTTGTTACGTTACAGCTTTATTCTAAAATTGATTAATTTGTGAAAATTGATTGAGATGTGTCGCGCTGCATGAGGCAAATGGTGGTCACACCAGATACTGACTGGTTTTCTGATCCACGTCCCTACCTTTTTTTTTTTTTTTTAAAGGTATCTTTGACCAACAGATGCATATCTGTATTCCCAGTCATGTGAAATCCATAGATTAGGGCCTAATAATTTTTTTTCAAGTGACTGATTTCCTTTTATGAACTGTAACTATAACTCTTTGAAATTGTTGCATTTTGCATTCATTTTTGCTGCTCATCTATGTACATTTTGTGACTTCTTGTAGAAGCATGAGTGGATGACCACGACCTGTAACCATGCCCTGTACGCTATCTGTGACGTCTTCACCCAGTTCTATGAGCCTCTTAGTGAGGTCCTGCTGGCTGACCTCTTTACTCAGCTGCAGTGGTGTGTCAGACAAGGTGGGTCCCTTCCTCTCAACACCGCTCACACACACACCCCTAACTATTTAAATTCAGGCTGTATCTCATGTAATATTATATGTGTAACATTTGACCAGAAATCTAAAGTTAGGTAAAGTAATGGTGAATGACACCACTATTTTATCTTCCCCTCCCACAGATAATGAGCAGTTGGCCCGGTCAGGGACTAACTGCCTGGAGAACCTGGTCATCCTGAATGGGGAGAAGTTTAGCCCGGAGGTGTGGAACGTCACCTGCTCCTGTATGCTGGACATCTTCCAGACCACCAGCCCACACGGGTGAGTTCTGCTGCCGGCCAGCCTGTCTGTCGCCTTGATGTTCTCACAACTTGGGGCGGCAGGTAGCTTAGTGGTTAAGAGCGTTGTGCCAGTAACCGAAAGGTCGCTGGTTCTAATCCCCGAGCCGACTAGGTGAAAAATCTGTCGATGTGCCCTTGAGCAAGGCACTTAACCCTAATTGCTCCTGTAAGTCGCTCTGGATAAGAGCGTCTGCTAAATGACTAAAATGTAAATGTAAACTTTGCCAACCCATCACCGTGAACCAGTTGCACGTAACAGTAATAATCTGTGTGTTTTAAATATTTCTTTGCATACATAAACAGAAAACACACTGTTAGAGAAGATGAGGATCTTTGTGTGCGTGCGTTACCAGTGCTGTCAGATGTTGTGAGCAGAACTTGTCGCATGCCGTGGTGACTCATGAACACACGTGGCCAGCCAGAACACTGTAAACACTTACTCCCACAGACCACATGACTGACGGTGTGCACATTCTATTTGCGCTTCTCAACAGCCTGTTGACGTGGCGACCGGCTGGTCAGGAAGAGGAGGCTGGCGATGGGAAACACATGGTGAGCAAACAATAACATTTCTGAACCCTCTGACAGAGTTCCCTTTGAGCCTGATTAGACAGGGCAGCGAGTTGACTCTTCTAAATTGATCTGGTCCTGTTGTTTATGTCATGAGTTCTTTAAACAAACATGCAGATAGAGCTTTCTCATCGCGTTGACTGTATTTGTGTCTGTTTGTTTAAAGGATGTAGATTTTGACACCCAGTCCCAGAGCAGCTATGACAGGGCCTTGTCAGAGAAAGGAGGGCAGAGCCAGATATCCACCGCCAGCGATGAGACCTGGAAAGGGAAACCCCATGCCAGTAAGCAACGGGTTACAGAAATATTTGGCCCTCGCCCCTCAATTCACATTTCTCTCTCTACCTCATCATCCTTCATGTCATGTTCCACTTTGCCACATTTGACCTCAGTCTCTCGTTGGTCCCTGTCTATCAAATAAAATCGTATTAGTCGCGTACACATATTTTGCAGGTGCATCGAAATGCTTGTGTTTCTAGCTCCAACAGTGCAGTAATATCTAGCAATACAAAACAATACACACAAATCCCAAAAAAGAATTAAGAAATATCAGAACGAGTAATGTCATAGTCCGGAATAATGCAAGAAACGTTCTGAGCAAATAATTCAAATAAATACTGCAAAGTTGACTAGGAGCTAGAAACAGGCCGACCACATCATCTTCCTGATGCCACTGTGCTCTGTGTCTGTGGCAGGGGTGGCAGACCAGAAGCTGTTTGCTGGGCTGCTCATCAAGTGTGTAGTGCAGCTGGAGCTGATCCAAACCATTGACAACATCGTCTTCTACCCGGCAACCAGCAAGAAGGAAGACGCAGACAATATGGCTGCCGCACAAGTTTATCACAACGACCATGTTTGTCCTTTTATGAATATAAAAGTCATGATGCTTATTAAACATGTAGTTAATTATGGCTTTTGATACATAAACTTAGTAGTGTGTTTTGGGTGTACTGTATGTTGCTGGGGGATTGACCGAGGCTCTGTGCTGTATCTCTCCCAGAGGGATGCCCTGGAGGAAGGGGAGCAGGGCATGTACAGACACCTCTCCTCCCAGCACCTCTTCAAGCTGCTGGACTGCCTGCTGGAGTCACACGCCTTCGCCAGAGATTTCAACTCTAGCAACGAGCAGAGGACTGCACTCTGGAGAGCAGGTACACTCAACTGTCTGTCTCTCTCTGGTGGGTTTAGATCATCTAATCTGCCAGTCTGTCATATAAGGATGCTCTGTGTTGTCTGCCCCTCTCTGTGTGTCTCAGGATTTAAGGGGAAGTCGAAGCCCAATCTGCTGAAGCAGGAGACTAGCAGCCTGGCCTGTAGCCTGCGTATTCTGTTTCGTATGTACTGTGACCGGCAGCTGCAGGACTCCTGGCCTGACATCCAGACACGCCTACTGCTGTGAGTGTCCCAGGGAGGGAAAGACTGGGGGGATCAGGGTGTGAAAAACCTTGACAATTGTAAAGCGACTTTGGGTCCTTGAAAAGCACTATATAAAGACCATGTATTATTATTATTATTATTAGAATTAAATATATAAAAGCATGTTTTCACACCAACGATTTAGAGGCAGCAACCTGGGAAACCCCAATGTGTTAAATTCTCGGTAAAACTGGATCCAGTTTTCTGTGTGACCTGAACAACAAGACTAACTTGAATGTCAATTTGATTCCATCATGTCATCCTTAGTGCTCTGGCTTCATCCCTGCGTTGTCCAGCTGTAACAGGTTCTTCAGCATTGGTTTGTGGGGGTGTTTCACTCCCAGCAGTGTGATACGTGGTAATGTTGGTCCTGTGTGTCCTGTCCTGTCCTCAGGGTGTGCAGCGAGGCCCTGGCCTATTTCATCAGCCTGACCTCAGAGAGCCACAGAGAGGCCTGGACCAACCTGCTCCTACTACTGCTCAGTAGGACCCTGCGACTGACCAACGATAAGGTTACACACACACCTACATCCACATGGACTGAAATATTTGTGCGCGCACACACACTGACAACTGGGATTTGCTTGCAGTGACAAGTGCTGCACAAGTGTGATCTGTTTTTTTTAAGACTGTTTATGTGAGCAAGTGTCTGCCAGCACCATTTCAACTCTATATACCTCGCGTCAGTACGCGGTATGAAAAGAAGTCTATTTCCCCTGACGTCCAGCTGGCGTAACTAATAGGTCAAATGGTTTGAATAACGAGCCGTAGGACAGCCCCTCATAGGTCAAATGGTTTGAATAACGAGCCGTAGGACAGCCCCTCATTTGCCTGATTTCCCCGCAGGCAATGAATTTGACTTCTGTAGAGGAAGGACACTGATTATTTGACAGTTTTGTCTTTGTAATGACATTTGTATGTAAAAGAGGCCATCAGCTGTGTGCAGGCAGACCAGGGACTGCCCCTGGGGTCTTGGGCTACCTCTGCTACATCAAGGATCTCTGAATTACACTCCATTCAGTGCAGATTTCCCCGTGTAGAGCGTACAGTCAGTTATCTTTTAGCCTGGTTCATTCTAATTGAGAATGATATTAAAGGTGATTTGGGGAACAGAAGGAAGGACGCTTAGGTACCAACAAGTTCCTTTGCACATACCAATCAGATAAACAGGAAGTGTGCAGCCTTGGGGGTTATTTTGAATTTGACTAAGAAATGTTTCCTCTCCCCAAATCCCACCTTCAGGTGTACGTAGTGGCTACTAAACAAACAACGTTGATATTCAACTTTGGCCATATTTCAAACAAAGCGTTTAGCAGCTTGTGTGTGCATCTGTCTGTTTGATGCTAAAATAGCCTGTTCTATGTACCGTTCTCTCCTCAGTTCAAGCCTCATGCCTCCTGTTACTACCCTCACCTGTGTGAGATGATGCAGTTTGACCTGATACCAGAGCTCCGTGCCGTCCTGCGCCACTTCTTCCTCCGCATCGGCTCAGTCTTCCACATCGCTGCTCCTGAGATGGGCTAGTCCTACCCGCCCTAGGAGGGTCTGGAGATGGAATGGTCGGTTTGGAGCGGGGGGGGGGGGGGGGGGGGGGGGGGGGGGGTCTGGGAGGTGAGAGCCCCCTCTATCAGGAGTAAGGGAGTGCGTAGCGATGAAGGATGCAGATCGACGCCAAGATTCTCAGGGGAAAATGCTTTGAAAGTCCTCAGTTCCTGTTTATTTTCTGCAAAGCAAAGGCTTCAGGTGTTGGTAATAAGGTCTGGTGCCCTTTAAGACTGACACCACCTAGAATCCCTGCTGTGTAAAAAGCACTGTGACAGAACAGAGCTCTCTGACTGTTTCTCAACACTGACGTTAATGTCAAATGTATGGAAAATGAACAACAACAATTTATTGATGTGGTTCTATAAATATATATATCTATACTGTACCTGATTTTGTTTGTTCTATTTGTTGGTTTGTTTGTCTGTCTTTCTGTTTTTAAGACTGAACAAACATGCATATCCAAATGCTAACGCAAATGAAGAATATCATTACTGAATATGCCGAGAAGTACCACTGGCAGACAAGCTCATTGGAAACACGACACTAAAGGATCCTCAGTGTCTCTCTAGTTGTGATGTGCTTGATGATCTGATCTAAATATATTGTAACAACTGATAGGCCTGATGACAAGGCCTATCCTTATTACTGTCCCTTTTCATTATGTTCAATCTCCGCTTCATTTGATGGTTATTGGTGGTTGGTTTTTGTAGCACAACCTGTATTCAGCATCCTACCCTAGGATTGCCGTTAGTGGATGAGCCTGTATGGCCGGTTGTTCCCCTGCCACCACTTCCCATTCATCTTATCATGTGAATCACTATAGCCTGTTATAAGAGTCCTAATTTTACTTGTATTTATTTAATTTTTATACTTATTTTAAAGCAACATTACATGCCAGTTTACTTGTTGAAAGGCTACTGCACATTCCCTATGTTTCCAATGTTCTGAGAGCGAAATGGAACTACTTGCTATTTTCTAGAATGAATCTGGTGTCCCGTAAAGAAAGTCTGCAAAGCAAAGCCCATGGTATTATATAGCAAGGATGAGATTTTCTTCTCCCATCAAACGGTTCTATTGTTCTGTTTTCCCTGTTCTGCTTTACACCCAATGGAGCCTGCAACAGCCTCCTCATGTATTAACTGTCCATACTTTCTCAGTTGTGGAGTGTCTGTCAGTGTTGTCGGTGAAATAACAGACAGGAGAAAGAATGAAGCAAAATCAAACGTTACCCCTAAATATGTCAGGGTATAGCTACCATCTTTACCATTTGCAGTTTTAATCCTGTGCATTTTTTTTTTTAAACAAGGATGTATATAATTATTTGAAGTGCATTTAAATATGTTTGAGAAGCATTCCTCCCCCTTGCAACAATGGATGGCTACTTTTCCCTTAAGGGGATCTATACATTTAATATACAGTATATGGAGAAATACAAGGTGGAAAGTTTATGTAAAATAGAAATGTAAGTGCTATACATATTGTGATGTAATCTCCCAAGCAGTTGGTGAAGTAATCAATAAACCTTTAATTCAGATCTATAGCAGCACTGCTTTTGATTTGAGTTGGTTTACTGGAAAGTGAAATACTATCATCGCTGCAATGTAGCAGCTACTGATGTGGCCTTTTGACAATGCGTTTCTAAAGTTGACCACAATGTGCCGCTGTAAACCTCAAACGTCAGAATGTATCGAAGGCAATTTTGGGGTAACAAAGGTTACCATGGTGATGTGAAACATCCCTTTGTTTTGTTTGGGGTGTACAGACGGATATAAAAAAATATATTTTACGTTCTGGTAAAGCTGTACTGTGTCTGATTTACTTCTGAAGACAACCGACAACGTTTATCAAGAAAGGCATCTAAATTCATTTTCAACATCACCCCCACAGTATGTTGGGAACCGGTGACATAATTTGACTATGAATATTTTAGCAAACTGAAAATAGGTCAAAGAAGATGGAATTGAGCCTCTGTTTGTTTAGGGTGCTAACGTAAACTAACGTTACTGTAGTTAGCTAATAACCTAGCTAACGTAGCAGGCGTGTAAAGATGTACATCTGTAGTTAGCGATCTAGTTGGAAGCGTCATTTAATGTCAGTGGGCGGAAAAGCTAGCTAGGAATGGCAACTTTAGCTAAAATTAGCTAGCTATCCAGTCAGCGCGTCTCCATTTGCTCCAGCAGAAAAGTCTAATATGATCTTGTCTGCTGCTGATTGGATTTCGTTGTGGGCTTTGTGCCAACCATTCAAGTTGCAGTAAGTGTTTCATATCGATTAACGTAGCTAATCAAGTTCAACTTGCAGCTTCTATGAGCTGTATGAGAACGTTAGCTAAAGAAGCACAACCACTAGCCATTTTTACCAAATCAAATGGGAAAGCTAACGTACATATGTGTTAAACAAACTTAAGCGAGCTAAACTAGCTAGTTACATACCCCGGCCTAGGTTTTATGCAAATAAACTGAATTTAGACTGGTTGCAGTAGCCAAATAGACATTTCAGGTGCAAGTCACAAATCCAGGATAATCATACCAAGATTAGAACGCCGACTTCCTACGAATTAAAACTATTTGGGGGATTTAGAATGACATGGTTAAATCGGTGTATTATAAATGTAATTAGTAACTACCTTTTCATTTTTAAATTGTAATGTGTTTCTCTAACTAGTGACGATTACGCAAAGCCGAGTTGGCATTCAACAAGCCATATTCCGGTGGGTGTAGTGATTAAAGGTCGCCGACATGGGTGTTTGAAATAGGCGGAAAATAATGGCGATCATTGGCTGCGTTTTAGGGTGCGTTTACACAGGCAGCCCAATTCTAATCTCTCTTTTTTTTTTTTACTAACTAGATCAGCTCTGAAAAAGATCTGATGTGATTGGTCACTACGACCAATTAGCGAAAACATTTATAAATTGAGCGGCTTGTGTAAACGCAGCCTTATGCTGCATTCACGTCATCTCAAACTCGGGATCTCCGAGTTAAAATGAACAGGTTATTTGTGTAGACGCGTGTTTACATGGTTCTGCGCATGCTTCAGGTGATAGAGATCTGAAAACGCTACTAGCGCTTTAAAAAATGTATGTAGTTATACTTTCCTGAGGATACATTGTCTCACATTCCTGCCGCCAAAAGGACCAACCGCATGGACAACCGGTAAAGTACATTAAAATATAATTTTATTCAACATTCTGGCTATTCGAGGTCGTGAGAGGAAACTTTCCTGATTCAAACGCTCATTTCTGCCTGACATAGCATTCAATGCAATTCAACGTCAGGTTTCCAGGCATGTAGTTTGGTAAACTATGATTTCATAGTAGCTTCCCCAACACTAGCCCTTCATAATTACACATAAGTCATTGGACGAAGGCATCCTCTGTTAGGGGAGTTTTTGTTAAATGCCACGACACTCGGTCTGAACATTAACACACATCGCTTGCAGTACGGTTTTGGAAACGTAAGTCTTTCATATCAGCGATACATTGATACACACCTTTTTATAGGGTTAGTGTTAGCGTTCCCACACGGCCATATCTCGCGTGTTTACGGAGGGACCACCTGTGCTAATTAGCTATCTAGCATGTTCCAAACACCTGCGTGTAACAGAAGACCGCAACTGTGATACATCCGGTTAAAACAGTGTACTTGTAAGTGTATATTTTGCATTTGTTTAATTATTTTGTGATATGAAAGTAAAGGGCTTTGTGTTTCTAGAATCATATCACAATTGAGAATCGATTCACGTTTAGATAGTTTGTGGCTGCCAGAGCCAGTCTACCTCTGAAAATAACAAAAGTTCCTTGGACCTTAAGGAGTAACGGTAGGCTCCTTAAGAGTACATCTTGGACTACCCCAACAGTGGTGATTGGTCAAAAGACCAGAATTGGGCTGTATGTCTAAACACAGCCTTTGTTATGTAATGGATTGAGTGGCCTGGGCATACAGTGCTTTCAAGACTATTCGGAACCTCAATCAAAATGTACTTAAGTTATTTTGCGTAGCGCTTCCTATTGGTTGTTTCTGATATTTTCCTAATTGTAAACTCTGAGCTCATCTTTCAGCAACGAGTTTCCGAGTTGTCTTCAACGCGGCATACCCAAGACACGCGCATCACGTAGCAATATCAGTTACGGAAGAGGGGACACGCGCATCACGTAGCAATAGCAGAGACAGAAGAGGAAGCGCGACACCCTACCCCCTAATTTCTTCTGGTTACATTACAGGCAGTCAATGAACTAAGCAAACCAGACCCAGCTGCTATTGCATTGGTTATGGGAGACCGGAACGGAGCATTTTTTTCCAATGGTAAACGGTTTGAGTGAACTATCTTCATTTGTCCACCATCTTCGGCAATAGTACATTTCACTTCTCTCCTCGGATTTTGACAGCAGGACTGATACATTTTCAGAAAATAGGATTAAAGCAACTCACTAAGAGTGTTGCCGTTGAAGATATTCCACTTTTGGTGTAACTAGGTAAGATAACATGTCAATTGTAGACAATCATGATTATTATGTTTATACGTGACAATATAATTAGATTAGTTTATTGTTCTGTAAAAAATGTAGTTAGCTAGCTTGTTTATCAATAAATTGCTATGCAATTCCAACTTGTCTCCACAACTATATGCATAAGGACGAGAACAATTTCCTCTTGACATTTTCACAAAAATACATTTACTTGAAAAACAGTGCAGATGCAGTTTTGAAACATAATGACGGTTTGTGCTGCATATAGTTGTGGTTTAACTTGGCAATCAATGGTTTTTGGGGTTTGGCATACATTTTGGGAAATTCTTAGTCTCCGCATTATTCTGTTACTGTGGAATTGCCTAAACGAAAAATGGCCACTTTGAAACATAACTCAAACTAATTACTGTAGCTATGTGTTTTGATCAAATTCGGAGATTTATTTAAATCAGTCAGTAATCTTTCAGTATTATTTGCCTTGAAAATGATATGGACGGGCTAGATTGTTCCATGGAATTCTGTGTAGCCCTAGTAGCTAGCGACACGTGTTGGTTAGCTGTTGCTACTGTAAACATATATGCTTAAAACAGCCAAGGCAACAAAGTAGCTCCCCACTTTCTAGTGCTATTTTCGATGTCGTCATTTTGGGATTGAGTTCCCACCTGTTAAGTCGCCAGTCACTGGTAACTCTTTATACCGTAGAGAGAGTCCTAAATGTCACTATTACCATAGGAAAAGAAAGGTCAGGTTCGGTGGGTGAGAACATACTACTGAAGAAGATCTGGGATGTATGCACCTCGTTTCTCCCACGTGGGGTTCTGTGACGTTGTTACAACAACAGGGGTCCACACTGACGCGCACTTATGTTTATGAAGAAATATCATTTTATTCTTAATTTTGGGGTTACATGTGAAAATGACAAATGTAATACATTAATGTTGATCTGATTACGGTTTACTAAGTAACATTAGGTTAACTGTTAACAATTATCATATGTTCATAGAATATATATCTCCAAAATATACATGCTGGCAATTGCAAATGAAAAATTTGTTCTGAATCAACCTAACTGGTAAATAAATGATCATATATTTAACTTCTGTCACAAACAACCTGCTGTTTAAAATTCAAGTCTGTTGGTAGTCAGAGCACCTTGCCCTGTCATGACTGTTCTGAAGCCAAAGGAAGGTTGTCTGTGACAGGTAACGGCAACCATCGCCATCTGTTTCATCTCCAATTAAAGCGATGCACTTTGACCCCACCAGATCTAATTTTGCCCACTACAGCTCCCCTCCTCCCCCAACCCACCTATGCTTATTGTGATGAATTATGCTCATTAAGATCTTCATTGTTCTCTTACCACAGGGCCTGAGCCATTGCACCAGCCTTGTTTTTTTTTGTATTCATAACGTCCATTTTCTGCATACCCAGAATGACACCGATTGGATTAAACACAGAGGCCTGATCCGAAGGGGCGTGTCACGAGCAGGTAAAACTGAGAACCCCGGGGGGCAAAGAAGAAAGACAAGAAAACGAATGATGACTTACAACAACAGAGAACTGGTGGAATACTATATTACCTATAAACTATCACAGAGGGACTACCCCTTCAATCACATTGGGCTCACGGAATCCCAGAGTCGGACTGAGGGGGGACCGGTGGACGGGAGTGCGGCAGTCATGACATACGTCAACTGCACAATGAACGGGACGAGTCCTGGTACTCCACCACCACGGCAGTCACCCCCCTCCTCCCCTCGGCGGACAGAGGGCCTGGACGCAGTGAAAGAGGCACTGCGGGACTCTGCCAACGAGTTTGAGCTGCGTTATGCCAGAGCGTTCAGTGACCTGGCCTCCCAGCTGCACATCACGCCGTCCACAGCCTACCAGAGCTTCGAGAACGTGATGGACGAGGTGTTCCGGGACGGTGTGAACTGGGGACGGGTGGTTGGCCTGTTTGCCTTCGGAGGGGCCCTCTGTGTAGAGTGTGTGGACAAGGAGATGAGCCCTCTGGTGGGAAGGATCACAGACTGGATGACAGTCTACCTGGACAACCACATCCAGCCCTGGATCCAGAGCCAAGGAGGATGGGTGAGTCACGACTGAAAGATGTGTGCATGGGGGTAGGGAAAGGGACATGGGTCATTTAGCTCAATGTGGGTTGTTGTATGAAGCATCAGTTCCGGAGGTCGTTGAGACCAGGATAATTTGGAATATGTTTAACTGTTGATTCTGCGCATTAGTACTCGTATCTGTTTATGTCGTGTCAGTTGGTCTGATCTGTGTACTGTATTTGACGCCTGACCTCTGACCTCAGGCTGATTTGTCAGCTCTTGGACCGAGACTGTTCTGTTTTAAGTGACTGATCTCTGTTGAGACTGGGTGCGGTTGGTTCTAGATCAGCCAATAAGACGGCGTGAGATGTTTGCCTTTGGTCAGCTGGGCATTGATCAGCCTCATTGAGTTTTCAGCTGAATCGAAGTGAGCTCTGCTGGCTGGGATCGAAGTCTTCATGGGGGAATGAAGTATAGGCTTGGGCTTTATAGATCAACCTTTATTTTCCCCTGGTTGTTTTCAATCTCTTCCTCTGTTCTGCGCCAGCTGCCTTCAGATGAAAGCAGTGTTCTCTCTGGGGTCAGCTGAGAGATGGGTTGTCCTGTTCCTGTTGGGTGGGTGTGTTATGGGATGGGAGAAGGACACTATTAAGGTCAGCTCTCCCTTTGTGTGGGCTGACATTTACATTTTTAGTCATTTAGCAGACGCTCTTATCCAGAGCGACTTACAGTTAGTGAGTGCATACATATTTCATACTGGCCCCCTGTGGGAATCGAACCCACAACCCTGGCATTGCAAGCGGCATGCTCTACCAACTGAGCTACACGGGACATATGATGGGGTGTGGATTGGAATGGGGAGGGGATGTTGAAACAGTCTCGAAAGGGATGGGTCCTATGGAAACTGGAATCTGATTGGGTACATTGTGTTGTGTGGGTAGGGGCCATCCGATTGGATTGTCTTTCTGCTGTTGCAGAGCTGAAATCAATGTTTTTTTTATTTTAAGAGTTGAAACAGGCAGATGACTCGATTACTGACAGCTCAGACACTCTGTGTCATGCCACCACCACACCCAGAAACACCAGACTCAACGCCTTGAACCAGTGGAAGCTTTTAACGGGAATAGTAACTCATCATGTACAGGATCTCTATGTAAACAAAGTCTGTTGTCTGTGTGTTATTTCTGAACAATATCCGGATGAAACACATGCCCAATCACCTAAGCACTTTCCCCCAAGCGCCTTAGCGAATTTGAACGTTGTTGATGGCATCGGATGTTGAATGTTGCTCTGAGTGGAAGACGTGAATGGCCTAAATATTGAATGGAATTTGCTTGTTCAATCAAGCAGATTCAGTCAAGTAGCGTTTTGTTCTCCTCGTGGTACTGGAATAGCGCCTCCAGACAAACGTAATGTCCTCCCTGGCTGTAATTAGTTCATGCACACACACCCTAACTACCGGTTCAATGTTTGGCATTCTAGCCATGCCACACTAATGGATCATGTGCATGCCTCCGACTGAGTACACACACAACACACACACACACACACACACACACACACACACACACACAACACAAAGATAAACAGTATGTTTAATGCATCTCTTCATCCTCTACACAGGAATACACACAACCCTTCAGCTCACATTTGAATTTGTCTGATGTGGTTAAGGCATGTAGCTTAGTGGTTAAGAGCGTTGTGCCAGTAACCGAAAGGTCGCTGGTTCTAATCCCCGAGCCGACTAGGTGAAAAATCTGTCTGTGCCCTTGAGCAAGGCACTTAACCCTAATTGCTCCTGTAAGTCGCTCTGGATAAGAGCGTCTGCTAAATGACTAAAATGTACATTTAAAATGTGGTTTCTGTGTGTAATGAAGAGAACACTGAGGTGTGCGTTCGTTTGAACACCTGGGACATCCCCACACTACAGGGGAATCTTTCAAAATGGATCCTATATTTCCCAGTAAGAAATGCCCACTTGTTTACCCATTTCTCCCATGTTTCATTACAAATCTAACCTACACACTTGTCTTTCTGTCCTCTTTTTTTTCTTCTTCTGAAACACATAGGCTATGCTCTCACTCTTTAACACACACACCCAGATCCGTTGGCAGCTGTAGGATGCTTAGTGTGTCATATTACCTGATTGTATTGTGGCGTTAGAAAGAGAGCTAGCCGGTTGCTTAGGGGAGTCCACAGCCTGTTACAGTACAGGGTGGCTTACTGCTGTCCTACCAAACACATGTTGATTCATTTCTCCCCGACTGCTCTTCATCCCAGTGCTGCTTCATAACATATTCAGTAGTGATGTGTGTTAGAGAAATGAACTGAGAAGAACGACGGAAAGAGAGGTTGAAAGTGAATGGATGGAACAGCAGATGAAGGAATGAAGACTGGGTGATGGGTGGAATCCCCCTTGAGTGAATGGTTGGTTCTCTGTCTGACCTCAGTGTGGGAGGAGGTTTGAAAGTGAATGGAGGGAACAGCAGATTAAGGAATGAAGACTGAGTGATCCCCCTTGAACGGTTCTCTCTGACCTCAGTGGTGATGGAGGTTGGAAAGTAAAACGGGAGTGCCAAAGAGCCTCATTTCGAAACAAATGGTGTGTGAGAATGTAGCCTACTGCTACACTGTGACAGTATGTCGGAGGGAGGGCAGTGAGGGATGTGGGGAGAGGGAATGCCTGAGGGGGTGTGGGTTATAACCAATTTATGGGTGAATAATATCTGGACGTGCGGTTCTGACAGAATAATAATGGTTAACTCATTTTGAATGTCAGTGGGAGAGGGCGGCTCTGAGAATGATAGTTGGAACTGGGAGGGTGGGAGGACGCTAGTGGAGGACAATACAAAATAAACCCTTCCTTTATTTCCTGCTCATCTCCTTTGTCACTGTGAGAGTGCTACACCTCTACTGTAGGTTACATCCCCTCCACCGCTGCCTGACACAGGACAGATTCTACTCTTACATCTAGGCATATCTTATACTCTGTTGTGACTGGAGAACTTGAGCTCTTGCCATTTATTTTTATTTATTTTTGTGGCCGTTTTCATAGGCGGCACATATTTGCTCCAGACGGTTCCCTTTTCAATGAATACATAGGCACACTGCACCTAGGATACACTGCCTTATCCACACGACACGCCTCTATTCCCTGCCATTGTATGTCAGACTGCCCTAAAGGAAAGGACAAGGAGATGGTACCTCTGGGACCTATCAACCCTCCCTCCCCCAACCACCACACACTAGCAGACGTGTTGCAGACCAGACAAGCACCAACACGCCAGCGTCACCATGCGGGGCGTGTCTCCACTCCTTTCTTTACCCATCCATCCATGTCTCCTCGTTTTCTTCGATCCATTTGACATGATCACTAATTACGGCTGACTGTGTCCTCCCCACCTCTCCCCTGATAGATGATGCCTCAGATCCCTCCATCCCCGTGTCCCCGAATGTCTTGCCTAGGTCACCGTGGGGATTTTAAAAAACATTTTCCATTGTACGTTTCAAATGAGTAGTGGGTTGGTATGTTTCTGAAATGAAAATGCTAAATTAAGTGAATGTGTTTTGGAAGTAGTCTGTTTCATAGTTGTCGTACAGTGCATTGATACAATGGATCGAACAGTGTCCTAGACCATTCACGTGACCACCTTAAACAAAGGACCTCTGGCCATGTACACACACACACAGTAATGGGGTTTGCTATCTGCTGTGCCCAGCCGTCCCCACAGATAACGTGCTGGTGTGTAAACATGCAGTAATAGACATTCTGATGGGTAGATGATCATGTAACAGTCATTCTGATGGGTAGATGATCATGTAACAGACATTCTGATGGGTAGATGATCATGTAACAGACATTCTGATGGGTAGATGATCATGTAACAGTCATTCTGATGGGTAGATGATCATGTAACAGACATTCTGATGGGTAGATGATCATGTAACAGACATTCTGATGGGTAGATGATCATGTAACAGTCATTCTGATGGGTAGATGATCATGTAACAGACATTCTGATGGGTAGATGATCATGTAACAGACATTCTGATGGGTAGATGATCATGTAACAGACATTCTGATGGGTAGATGATCATGTAACAGTCATTCTGATGGGTAGATTATCATGTAACAGACATTCTGATGGGTAGATGATCATGTAACAGACATTCTGATGGGTAGATGATCATGTAACAGTCATTCTGATGGGTAGATGATCATGTAACAGTCATTCTGATGGGTAGATGATCATGTAACAGTCATTCTGATGGGTAGATGATCATGTAACAGACATTCTGATGGGTAGATGATCATGTAACAGACATTCTGATGGGTAGATGATCATGTAACAGACATTCTGATGGGTAGATGATCATGTAACAGACATTCTGATGGGTAGATGATCATGTAACAGACATTCTGATGGGTAGATGATCATGTAACAGACATTCTGATGGGTAGATGATCATGTAACAGTCATTCTGATGGGTAGATGATCATGTAACAGACATTCTGATGGGTAGATGATCATGTAACAGACATTCTGATGGGTAGATGATCATGTAACAGTCATTCTGATGGGTAGATGATCATGTAACAGTCATTCTGATGGGTAGATGATCATGTAACAGACATTCTGATGGGTAGATGATCATGTAACAGTCATTCTGATGGGTAGATGATCATGTAACAGACATTCTGATGGGTAGATGATCATGTAACAGTCATTCTGATGGGTAGATGATCATGTAACAGTCATTCTGATGGGTAGATGATCATGTAACAGACATTCTGATGGGTAGATGATCATGTAACAGTCATTCTAATGGGTAGATGATCATGTAACCAGTAACAGTCATTCTGATGGGTAGATGATCATCAAGTCTGTGTTTTGCCTTTTTCAATAAATTGTTTCCTTATAAATGTGTTCAGTCTTGCACATACTGAATTGTCTGTGTAGGAATTGTGTGGTTGATGGTGTGTGTCAGTGACCGAGTGAAAGTGGCAGTAGATGGCGTGATTCCGTCATCCTCAGCCTTGTCACAAAACCATAAGTCTGAGACAGTAGTTTCGATGCTGAGAGAGAGACTGGGCCATTCCAATGCTGTAGGGGGAAGCCGGGGGGGGGCTCAACTCACCTTGGGCCGTTTTCACTCCTCCAGGGTTGCAGGGTGATCCAGCCACCATCACGTGTACGCTACAGACAGGATGAGATGGCAGGATGCAGCCAGGAGAAAAAGCACTACTCAGTGTCTAGGGGTGTGTGTGTTGTGTGTGTCTATGCACATCATGTGTGTTTCTGTTTTTGTGTGTGTCTATGTGTACGTGCGTAATGGGGTCTTGCCCAATGGAGCAGTCCATTTAGTGGCAACTCCCCTCTCTCTCCTCTATTTATAGCCTCTATCAGCGCATCAGCCAGTGATGTGGAAGAGGGACCTGCAGCATTACTGCCTCACTGGGTGCACTTCAACACAGCTTGCCATCCAACTGAGCAGCACCACACTAAGCAATGAGCTTTTGCTGTGCTCTAAATATGTCAGTATGTGATTCTGATTCAGCACAGAGCAGCCAGACATCCAGTGGTCTGTGTGTTGGTAGAGGGACTAGAGCAGTGGTCTGTGTGTGTTGGTAGAGGGACTAGAGCAGTGGTCTGTGTGTGTGTTGGTAGAGGGACTAGAGCAGTGGTCTGTGTGTGTGTTGGTAGAGGGACTAGAGCAGTGGTCTGTGTGTGTGTTGGTAGAGGGACTAGAGCAGTGGTCTGTGTGTGTTGGTAGAGGGACTAGAGCAGTGGTCTGTGTGTTGGTAGAGGGACTAGAGCAGTGGTCTGTGTGTGTTGGTAGAGGGACTAGAGCAGTGGTCTCTGTGTGTGTGTTGGTAGAGGGACTAGAGCAGTGGTCTGTCTGTGTGTTGGTAGAGGGACTAGAGCAGTGGTCTGTGTGTGTGTTGGTAGAGGGACTAGAGCAGTGGTCTGTGTGTGTGTTGGTAGAGGGACTAGAGCAGTGGTCTGTCTGTGTGTGTGTTGGTAGAGGGACTAGAGCAGTGGTCTGTGTCTGTGTTGGTAGAGGGACTAGAGCAGTGGTCTGTGTCTGTGTTGGTAGAGGGACTAGAGCAGTGGTCTGTGTGTTGGTAGAGGGACTAGAGCAGTGGTCTGTGTGTTGGTAGAGGGACTAGAGCAGTGGTCTGTCTGTGTGTGTTGGTAGAGGGACTAGAGCAGTGGTCTGTGTGTGTGTTGGTAGAGGGACTAGAGCAGTGGTCTGTGTCTGTGTTGGTAGAGGGACTAGAGCAGTGGTCTGTGTTGGTAGAGGGACTAGAGCAGTGGTCTGTGTCTGTTGGTAGAGGGACTAGAGCAGTGGTCTGTGTCTGTTGGTAGAGGGACTAGAGCAGTGGTCTGTGTGTGTTGGTAGAGGGACTAGAGCAGTGGTCTGTGTGTGTTGGTAGAGGGACTAGAGCAGTGGTCTGTGTGTGTTGGTAGAGGGACTAGAGCAGTGGTCTGTGTGTGTTGGTAGAGGGACTAGAGCAGTGGTCTGTGTGTTGGTAGAGGGACTAGAGCAGTGGTCTGTGTGTTGGTAGAGGGACTAGAGCAGTGGTCTGTGTGTTGGTAGAGGGACTAGAGCAGTGGTCTGTGTGTGTGTGTTGGTAGAGGGACTAGAGCAGTGGTCTCTGTCTGTGTGTGTTGGTAGAGGGACTAGAGCAGTGGTCTGTGTATTGGTAGAGGGACTAGAGCAGTGGTCTGTGTTGGTAGAGGGACTAGAGCAGTGGTCTGTGTGTTGGTAGAGGGACTAGAGCAGTGGTCTGTGTGTTGGTAGAGGGACTAGAGCAGTGGTCTGTGTGTTGGTAGAGGGACTAGAGCAGTGGTCTGTGTGTGTGTGTTGGTAGAGGGACTAGAGCAGTGGTCTCTGTCTGTGTGTGTTGGTAGAGGGACTAGAGCAGTGGTCTGTGTATTGGTAGAGGGACTAGAGCAGTGGTCTGTGTTGGTAGAGGGACTAGAGCAGTGGTCTGTGTGTTGGTAGAGGGACTAGAGCAGTGGTCTGTGTGTTGGTAGAGGGACTAGAGCAGTGGTCTGTGTGTTGGTAGAGGGACTAGAGCAGTGGTCTGTCTGTGTGTGTGTTGGTAGAGGGACTAGAGCAGTGGTCTGTGTGTGTGTGTTGGTAGAGGGACTAGAGCAGTGGTCTGTGTGTGTGTGTTGGTAGAGGGACTAGGGCAGTGGTCTGTCTGTGTGTGTGTTGGTAGAGGGACTAGAGCAGTGGTCTGTGTGTGTGTGTTGGTAGAGGGACTAGAGCAGTGGTCTGTCTGTGTGTGTTGGTAGAGGGACTAGAGCAGTGGTCTGTGTGTGTGTTGGTAGAGGGACTAGAGCAGTGGTCTGTGTCTGTGTTGGTAGAGGGACTAGAGCAGTGGTCTGTGTGTGTTGGTAGAGGGACTAGAGCAGTGGTCTGTCTGTGTGTGTTGGTAGAGGGACTAGAGCAGTGGTCTGTCTGTGTGTGTGTTGGTAGAGGGACTAGAGCAGTGGTCTGTGTGTGTTGGTAGAGGGACTAGAGCAGTGGTCTGTGTCTGTGTTGGTAGAGGGACTAGAGCAGTGGTCTGTGTCTGTGTTGGTAGAGGGACTAGAGCAGTGGTCTGTGTCTGTGTTGGTAGAGGGACTAGAGCAGTGGTCTGTGTCTGTGTTGGTAGAGGGACTAGAGCAGTGGTCTGTGTCTGTGTTGGTAGAGGGACTAGAGCAGTGGTCTGTGTCTGTGTTGGTAGAGGGACTAGAGCAGTGGTCTGTGTCTGTGTTGGTAGAGGGACTAGAGCAGTGGTCTGTGTCTGTGTTGGTAGAGGGACTAGAGCAGTGGTCTGTGTGTTGGTAGAGGGACTAGAGCAGTGGTCTGTGTGTGTTGGTAGAGGGACTAGAGCAGTGGTCTGTGTGTGTTGGTAGAGGGACTAGAGCAGTGGTCTGTGTGTGTTGGTAGAGGGACTAGAGCAGTGGTCTGTGTGTGGTAGAGGGACTAAAGCAGGGGTGTCTGTGTGTGTTGGTAGAGGGACTAGAGCAGTGGTCTGTGTGTTGGTAGAGGGACTAGAGCAGTGGTCTGTGTTGGTAGAGGAACTAGAGCAGGTGTGTGGTAGGTGCTGTTGTGTTGGTAGAGGGACTAGAGCAGTGGTCTGGTGTTGGTAGAGGGACTAGAGCAGTGGTCTGTGTGTGTGTGTTGGTAGAGGGACTAGAGCAGTGGTCGTTTGTCTGGTTGTGTTGGTAGAGGGACTAGAGCAGTGGTCTGTGTGTTGGTATAGAGTGGACTAGAGCAGTGGTCTGTGTTGGTAGAGGGACTAGAGCAGTGGTCTGTGTGTTGGTAGAGGGACTAGAGCAGTGGTCTGTGTGTGTTGGTAGAGGGACTAGAGCAGTGGTCTGTTGTGTGTGTTGGTAGAGGGACTAGAGCAGTGGTCTGTGTGTGTGTGTTGGTAGAGGGACTAGAGCAGTGGTTGTGTTGTTGTAAGGACTGGCTGGTCTGTGTGTGTAGAGGGACTAGAGCAGTGGTCTGTCTGTGTGTGTGTTGGTAGAGGGACTAGAGCAGTGGTCTGTCTGTGTGTGTGTTGGTAGAGGGACTAGAGCAGTGGTCTGTGTGTGGTTGGTAGAGGGACTAGAGCAGTGGTCTGTGTGTGTGTTGGTAGAGGGACTAGAGCAGTGGTCTGGGTTTTGTGTTGGTAGAGGGACTAGAGCAGTGGTCTGTCTGTGTGTGTTGGTAGAGGGACTAGAGCAGTGGTCTGTGCTGTTGGTAGGACTAAGCTGGTGTGTGTGTTGGTAGAGGGACTAGAGCAGTGGTCTGTGTGTGTTGGTAGAGGGACTAGAGCAGTGGTCTGTGTCTGTGTTGGTAGAGGGACTAGAGCAGTGGTCTGTGTCTGTGTTGGTAGAGGGACTAGAGCAGTGGTCTGTGTCTGTGTTGGTAGAGGGACTAGAGCAGTGGTCTGTGTGTTGGTAGAGGGACTAGAGCAGTGGTCTGTGTGTTGGTAGAGGGACTAGAGCAGTGGTCTGTGTGTGTTGGTAGAGGGACTAGAGCAGTGGTCTGTGTGTGTTGGTAGAGGGACTAGAGCAGTGGTCTGTGTGTTGGTAGAGGGACTAGAGCAGGGGTGTCTGTGTGTGTTGGTAGAGGGACTAGAGCAGTGGTCTGTGTGTTGGTAGAGGGACTAGAGCAGTGGTCTGTGTTGGTAGAGGAACTAGAGCAGTGGTCTGTGTGTTGGTAGAGGGACTAGAGCAGTGGTCTGTGTGTTGGTAGAGGGACTAGAGCAGTGGTCTGTGTGTGTGTGTTGGTAGAGGGACTAGAGCAGTGGTCTCTGTCTGTGTGTGTTGGTAGAGGGACTAAGCAGGTCAGTGGTTGTGTTTGGTAGAGGGACTAGAGCAGTGGTCTGTGTGGTTGGTAGAGGGACTAGAGCAGTGGTCTGTGTGTGTTTGGTAGAGGGACTAGAGCAGTGGTCTGTGTGTGTGTGTTGGTAGAGGGACTAGAGCAGTGGTCTGTCTGTGTGTGTGTTGGTAGAGGGACTAGAGCAGTGGTCTGTCTGTGTGTGTGTTGGTAGAGGGACTAGAGCAGTGGTCTGTGTGTGTGTGTGTTGGTAGAGGGACTAGAGCAGTGGTCTGTGTGTGTGTGTTGGTAGAGGGACTAGAGCAGTGGTCTGTGTGTGTGTGTTGGTAGAGGGACTAGAGCAGTGGTCTGTCTGTGTGTGTTGGTAGAGGGACTAGAGCAGTGGTCTGTGTGTGTGTGTGTGTTGGTAGAGGGACTAGAGCAGTGGTCTGTTGTGTGTGTGTTGGTAGAGGGACTAGAGCAGTGGTCTGGTGTTGTGGTAGAGGGACTAGAGCAGTGGTCTGTGTGTGTGTGTTGGTAGAGGGACTAGAGCAGTGGTCTGTGTGTGTGTGTTGGTAGAGGGACTAGAGCAGTGGTCTGTCTGTGTGTGTTGGTAGAGGGGACTAGAGCAGTGTCTGTGTGTGTGTGTGTGTGTTGGTAGAGGGACTAGAGCAGTGGTCTGTGTGTGTGTGTTGGTAGAGGGACTAGAGCAGTGGTCTGTGTTTGTGTGTTGGTAGAGGGACTAGAGCAGTGGTCTGTGTGTGTGGTTGGTAGAGGGGACTAGAGCAGTGGTCTGTCTGTCTGTGTGTGTTGGTAGAGGGGACTAGAGCAGTGGTCTGTCTGTGTGTTGGTAGAGGGACTAGAGCAGTGGTCTGGTGTGTGTGGTTGGTAGGGGACTAGAGCAGTGGTCTGTCTGTCTGTGTGTTGGTAGAGGGACTAGAGCAGTGGTCTGTCTGTCTGTGTGTTGGTAGAGGGACTAGAGCAGTGGTCTGTCTGTGTGTTGGTAGAGGGACTAGAGCAGTGGTCTGTCTGTGTGTTGGTAGAGGGACTAGAGCAGTGGTCTGTCTGTGTGTTGGTAGAGGGACTAGAGCAGTGGTCTGTCTGTGTGTTGGTAGAGGGACTAGAGCAGTGGTCTGTCTGTGTGTTGGTAGAGGGACTAGAGCAGTGGTCTGTCTGTGTGTTGGTAGAGGGACTAGAGTAGTGGTCTGTGTGTGTGTACTCAGTGGAAACATTGTGGCTCCTGCTCTCTCTGCTCCAGTTCTGAGCTGGCTTAGTGTGGAAAATCAGGTCACGATTCCTTTCCCCTTCCCTCATTCTCTCTCCCTCTTTTTCTCCCTCTCGCTCTCCCTCTTGCTGTCTCTGTCCCTCTCGCTGTCCCTCTCTCTGTCCCTCTCTCTGTCCCTCTGCCTGTTTGTTACTTGCAGTTTTTCTCCATCTTTATTAGATTGACTGTATAGGCCTGCATTTTCTCCCAATTACCCCCTCCCTCCCTCGGTTTCTCTCTCTCGCTCTCTCTGTGTATAGAAACTGATTTCAGATTATGAGACCTCTCTATGGGATTAGTGTGGTAGCTGTGATCTATTAAACTGACATGGGGAGAGGGGCTATGGTGCCCAGCAAATATGACAGAATCTGGTAGCGCTGTATTGAATATGATGACGCTGATCATCATGATCAATGTTGTTCGAATTGGCGGCAATGTAATAAGAGCCATATTTAATGTTCTTTCCTCTCCTTGTCTCCTAGCCCATTGCATCTCTGTCTCCCTCTGTGTCTCTGTCTCCCTCTGTGTCTCTGTCTCCCTCTGTGTGTCTCTGTCTCCCTCTGTGTCTCTGTCTCCCTCTGTGTCTCTGTCTCCCTCTGTGTCTCTGTCTCCCTCTGTGTCTCTGTCTCCCTCTGTGTCTCTGTCTCCCTCTGTGTCCTCCTCTGTCCTGTCCCTCTGTGTCTCTGTCTCCCTCTGTGTCTCTGTCTCCCTCTGTGTCTCTGTCTCCCTCTGTGTCTCTGTCTCCCTCTGTGTCTCTGTCTCCCTCTGTGTCTCTGTCTCCCTCTGTGTCTCTGTCTCCCTCTGTGTCTCTGTCTCCCTCTGTGTCTCTGTCTCCCTCTGTGTCTCTGTCTCCCTCTGTGTCTCTGTCTCCCTCTGTGTCTGTGTCTCCCTCTGTGTCTGTGTCTCCCTCTGTGTCTGTGTCTCCCTCTGTGTCTCCCTCTGTGTCTCCCTCTGTGTCTCCCTCTGTGTCTCTCTGTCTCCCTCTCTGCGTCTCTCTGTCTCCCTCTCTGTGTCTCCCTCTCTGTGTCTCCCTCTCTGTGTCTGTCTCTGTGTCTCCCTCTCTGTGTCTGTCTCTGTGTCTCCCTCTCTGTGTCTGTCTCGCTCTCTGTCTCTGTCTCTGTCTCCGTCTGTCTGTCTCTCTTCCTCTGTCTCTATCATTTTCTCTTCTCCCCCTCTTTCTTTCTTTCAGACAGATGGTAGCTCTTTGCCCCTTTGTGAGGAGATTTGAGTGGGGGTGAGTGTTTGAGGGTTCAAGTTTATGGGGTGCTGCTGGTGACATACAGTGGATCTGAAAAGCAACACACACGTTTCTCTGTGTGTGTGGCTGCTGTGGCCCCTTTTTCCTAGACGCTGGGAGAGTGCTGTGGTGACCGAATGGGAGCTGCGCTGCTAGTGAACCCCATTGAGATGGGGAACAGATCGGCGTCTGAGCCTGAATGTCCGACTCATTAATCTCCTCTTTAATGAATGGATTCACCTCCGGATGGATCAGCAGAGACATCCCACTAGAGGAAGAGAAAGGGGGGAGACAGACGTCTCCTTCATGTGTAGGCTAGAACCGACAGTAACAGCCAGCTGGGAGGTCACCATCAAGTTCCTTGATCCCTATGGTCCCTCTTACCAGACCACATCCTAGCTAGGGAGGCAGGTAGCCTAGCTGTTAAGAGTGTTGGGTCTGATGACAGTGGTATGGGAGGCAGGTAGCCTAGCTGTTAAGAGTGTTGGGTCTGATGACAGTGGTATGGGAGGCAGGTAGCCTAGCTGTTAAGAGTGTTGGGTCTGATGACAGTGGTATGGGAGGCAGGTAGCCTAGCTGTTAAGAGTGTTGGGTCTGATGACAGTGGTATGGGAGGCAGGTAGCCTAGCTGTTAAGAGTGTTGGGTCTGATGACAGTGGTATGGGAGGCAGGTAGCCTAGCTGTTAAGAGTGTTGGGTCTGATGACAGTGGTATGGAACAGACAGTGGTATGGGAGGCAGGTAGCCTAGCTGTTAAGAGTGTTGGGTCTGATGACAGTGGTATGGGAGGCAGGTAGCCTAGCTGTTAAGAGTGTTGGGTCTGATGACAGTGGTATGGGAGGCAGGTAGCCTAGCTGTTAAGAGTGTTGGGTCTGATGACAGTGGTATGGGAGGCAGGTAGCCTAGCGGTTGGGCCAGTAACTGAACGGTCGCTGGTTTGAATCCCTTAAGACACTTAACCCTAATTTCTCCTGTAAGTCACTCTGGATAAGAGCGTCTGCTAAATGACTATAATGTGAATATAACTAGTGTATAGTCTTCTCTAACTTCAGCCTTGCGTGAGTGTTTTTAAAGGGGCGTGAATGGCAGAGTGGCTTAGTGTGGATTGTTGTTTCTGATTATTCACCAGTATTTATGGCTACATTGTGTTCTAGCTACTTGAGCAGGCGAGGTTAAAGGCAGAACAGAACCTTGCTCTGGGGCCTTGCCAGGTTTATTAACCCCTCCCCCACACTGTTCCGGTGCTCTATGGTTTGGCCCAAAGCCCGACTCTCACACTCTGGGGGATGACTGTCTGCCAGTCGTCATATGGACTTATGATGATCTGCCGACAGGCATGGGGAATTGTATTCTGAGGGTGGGACTGGGAGCAGTGTCTTAGCTCTCAACTTTAGCCTAGTTCTGCCCTTCCTGTATGCATCACATGATTGCAGATAAGAGGTCCATCTGTGGTCAATGTGAGTGTATTCACCATATTTGACCAGCGGTGAAGATTAAAAAGCCGTCCTTTGATGTCACACGAAAATGTAATCAAACGCAACGGTTTGTTTATCTGAGTTTACCCAACAAACGACTTACTGATGTGATGTGGAATTGCACTTTTGCCCCAGAAGCACAACCCATCCCGTGTTTTCATTATGACTCAGCAAAGGTCAGTCTTCAACGTCAGAGAGGGCATTCAAGGCATGTCTGAGACATGAGGTGATTACTTATTACTCAAGTACTGGATGATACAATCCAGATCTCCTGCACCGTCACTGAAGAATGCAGCATTTGACAGGAAATCCGTCCAGTGTGACCAAGGAGTTTTGCAACCCTCAATTGTCTTTCGTTGGGCTGGTTTAAAGCGGAATCTGGCCTTTTTTTGTTAGTAGTTCTATTCAGAGGCTTCTGTGTTCCCAGGGCTATGCCAGCATTCTGTAGTTCACAGAACTAGGCTAGCAGAACATTCTGGATTCCTTTCTTTATTTGAATGGAACACTCCCCTTTAGTATTGTTTCAACTCTGTGTGGTAACCGTGTTCCTTCTGCCCAGTTCTCTCTCGGTTGCCAAACTGAGCTGAGGCCTCTATTGAAAGAGACCTGCCCAGATCAGCTGCTGCGGAATCATTTGAGAGGCTCTGGTCAATTCATCTTCTCTCTCTGGGGAACTAAAGGCTCTAAATTATGAAGAGAAACACTTCGGTTTTGAAGTTTAGGCCATCTTTTAAATATTGCTTCCATTCACTGCAACCCCTTTCATTGATTTAAAAAGATAAATATTCGGACTAATCTAGTGATCAGTGTTTCACCATGGAGACACGGTTGCAGGTTATGATGATGGTGGTGAAACAGTGGTGTAACCGGTTAGAACTGACTCGGGGTCCGGTGGTGGTGGTGGTTTTCCTCTCAGTCATGGAACCTTGGGCAATCTTTTAGACACAAACGCACCGATCAGCTGATCTCTGGTAACCATGGAAACCTTATAATGAGATGTTGTTGTTTTTCCTCCTCTCTCCTTCCCGCTTCTGCCTTTTTCTCTCCTCAGCTATCGATTAAAAAAAAAAAATATCCTGAGGCTGGAAATCTTAGAATGGTTGCTGCTTAGTGCCTGACATCTCTGGGGAACAGGTGGAGAACACTGGGAGGGGCAGCAGGTTTAGGGCTAGCTACCTCGCAGGTGTGACTGAGACAGAACCACTCAGACAGATACAGACATGGAGACTGACAAACATTACAATGTGGCTGTGTGATTTTACTACCTGTAATTTAACATGTAGGACAGGCCTGTGTGATTTACTACCTGTAATTTAACATGTCGGACAGGCCTGTGATTTACTACCTGTAATTTAACATGTAGGACAGGCCTGTGTGATTTTACTACCTGTAATTTAACATGTCGGACAGGCCTGTGATTTACTACCTGTAATTTAACATGTAGGACAGGCCTGTGTGATTTTACTACCTGTAATTTAACATGTAGGACAGGCCTGTGTGATTTTACTACCTGTAATTTAACATGTAGGACAGGCCTGTGTGATTTACTACCTGTAATTTAACATGTAGGACAGGCCTGTGTGATTTACTACCTGTAATTTAACATGTAGGACAGGCCTGTGTGATTTTACTACCTGTAATTTAACATGTCGGACAGGCCTGTGATTTACTACCTGTAATTTAACATGTAGGACAGGCCTGTGTGATTTTACTACCTGTAATTTAACATGTAGGACAGGCCTGTGTGATTTACTACCTGTAATTTAACATGTAGGACAGGCCTGTGTGATTTACTACCTGTAATTTAACATGTAGGACAGGCCTGTGTGATTTTACTACCTGTAATTTAACATGTAGGACAGGCCTGTGTGATTTTACTACCAGTAATTTAACATGTAGGACAGGCCTGTGTGATTTACTACCTGTAATTTAACATGTAGGACAGGCCTGTGTGATTTACTACCTGTAATTTAACATATAGGACAGGCCTGTGTGATTTTACTACCTGTAATTTAACATGTCGGACAGGCCTGTGTGATTTTACTACCTGTAATTTAACATATAGGACAGGCCTGTGTGATTTTACTACCTGTAATTTAACATATAGGACAGGCCTGTGTGATTTTACTACCTGTAATTTAACATATAGGACAGGCCTGTGTGATTTTACTACCTGTAATTTAACATATAGGACAGGCCTGTGTGATTTTACTACCTGTAATTTAACATATAGGACAGGCCTGTGTGATTTTACTACCTGTAATTTAACATATAGGACAGGCCTGTGTGATTTTACTACCTGTAATTTAACATGTCGGACAGGCCTGTGTGATTTTACTACCTGTAATTTAACATATAGGACAGGCCTGTGTGATTTTACTACCTGTAATTTAACATATAGGACAGGCCTGTGTGATTTTACTACCTGTAATTTAACATATAGGACAGGCCTGTGTGATTTTACTACCTGTAATGTTAACATATAGGACAGGCCGTGTGTGATTTTACTACCTGTAATTTAACATATAGGACAGGCCTGTGTGATTTTACTACCTGTATTTAACATGTCGGACAGGCCTGTGTGATTTTACTAACCTGTAATTAACATATAGGACAGGCCTGTGTGATTTTACTACCTGTAAGTTAAACATGTCGGACAGGCCTGTGTGATTTTACTACCTGTAATTTAACATATAGGACAGGCCTGTGTGATTTTACTACCTGTAATTTAACATATAGGAAGGCCTGTGTGATTTACTACCTGTAATTTAACATATAGGACCAGGCCTGTGTGATTTTACTACCTGTAATTTAACATATAGGACAGGCCTGTGTGATTTTACTACCTGTAATTTAACATGTCGGAAAGGCCGGTGTGATTTACTACCCGTAATTAAACATATAGGACAGCCTGTGTGATTTTACTACCAGTAATTTAACATGTAGGACAGGCCTGTGTGATTTACTACCTGTATTTAACATGTAGGACAGGCCTGTGTGATTTTACTACCTGTTAATTTAACATGTCGGACAGGCCTGTGATTTACTACCTGTAATTTAACATGTAGGACAGGCCTGTGTGATTTTACTACCTGTAATTTAACATGTAGGACAGGCCTGTGATTTACTACCTGTAATTTAACATGTAGGACAGGCCTGTGTGATTTTACTACCTGTAATTTAACATGTAGGACAGGCCTGTGTGATTTACTACCTGTAATTTAACATGTAGGACAGGCCTGTGTGATTTACTACCTGTAATTTAACATGTAGGACAGGCCTGTGTGATTTTACTACCTGTAATTTAACATGTAGGACAGGCCTGTGTGATTTACTACCTGTAATTTAACATGTAGGACAGGCCTGTGTGATTTACTACCTGTAATTTAACATGTAGGACAGGCCTGTGTGATTTACTACCTGTAATTTAACATGTAGGACAGGCCTGTGTGATTTACTACCTGTAATTTAACATGTAGGACAGGCCTGTGTGATTTTACTACCTGTAATTTAACATGTAGGACAGGCCTGTGTGATTTACTACCTGTAATTTAACATGTAGGACAGGCCTGTGTGATTTACTACCTGTAATTTAACATGTAGGACAGGCCTGTGTGATTTACTACCTGTATGGGCCAGTATGGAAAATGTATGCTCTCACTAACTGTAAGTCACTCTGGATAAGAGCATCTGCTAAATGACTAAAATGTTATACAGTATGTGGATTCAATCTGTGTGTGTGTGTGTGTGTGTGTGTGTGTGTGTGTGTGTGTGAGAGTAGTATAGGCATGCCTAGGCAGGTACAGTACACATTAGAGCTCCAGAGATCAATAAGCACTGATGACTACAGGGTTGAGTATGTTACTGCTGATGATAGACCACAGGAAGCAGTGATGACTACAGGGTTGAGTATGTTACTGCTGCCTGCCATGATGATAGACCACAGGAAGCAGTGTAGAGCTGAGACAGACCTAGGCACTGTTGTAATAAAGAGACATTGACGATGAACCTAGATGGTATGGTAGAAAGATGAACAAGCGTGTCACAAATAAAATGTATTCTTGATTTTTATTATTATTATTATTATTATTATTATTATTATTACAGGGAGGCTATTCAGGAGAGGGGAGGTGAATATCCTATTTGATTTCACCGGTCACTCACACTCTCTGTATTCTGTCATGCCTTAACACATCAGGTCATGAAATAATCGTCATCACAAACGACTCTCTTTCCTCTACACCCACATCATTCCTCTCATTCCCCTTCCTGGAGTTCTCACGGGGAGCGATACTCTCCATGGCTTCACCTCCTGCGTGCTGCTGGCTCCTGTGCTGTAGTTAGCCTACATGTTGACATTTCTTAGAATCTATAGACCGACTACGCCCACCTCACCTACAGTAGCTTGGTTTGTCTCCGATGGGTTTGTTTGGACAGAAGTGTTTGCACCGGAATCATTGAGTGATGAATGTGAACACTGTGGGTGTAATTTGCAGTGTGTTTGTCTCAGTGGGCCTACACTGCAGGGATGGGCAACTCCAGTCCTCAGGGGCCGACGTGGTGTCACTTTTCCCCCATCCCTAGCAAAAACAGCTGATTTTTTTAAACTATACTGAACAAAAATATAAACGCAACATGCAACAATTTCAAAGATTTTACTCTGTTACAGTTCATATAAGGAAATCAATCAATTAATTGAAATAAATAAATTAGGCCCTAATCTATTGATTTTCCCATGACTGGGCAGGGGTGCAGCCATGGGAATTAGCCAATCAGAATTAGATTTTCCCCACAAAAGGGCTTTATTACAGACAGAAATACTCATCATTTATATTTTTGTTCAGGATAACTGCATTCTAAACTGAATATTATGACTAGTTGATTATTGGAGTCAGGTGTGTTAGCTGGAGCTGGGGCAAAAGTGTGACACCAATCAGACCCCAGAGGACTGGAGTTGACCATCCTTGGCCTACAGTATTATGTCTGTCTGGCAGTGTTTTATCTGTAGGCCTACAGTATTATGTCTGTCTGGCAGTGTTTTATCTGTAGGCCTACAGTATTATGTCTGTCTGGCAGTGTTTTATCTGTAGGCCAACAGTATTATGTCTGTCTGGCAGTGTTTTATCTGTAGGCCAACAGTATTATGTCTGTCTGGCAGTGTTTTATCTGTAGGCCTACAGTATTATGTCTGTCTGGCAGTGTTTTATCTGTAGGCCAACAGTATTATGTCTGTCTGGCAGTGTTTTATCTGTAGGCCAACAGTATTATGTCTGTCTGGCAGTGTTTTATCTGTAGGCCAACAGTATTATGTCTGTCTGGCAGTGTTTTATCTGTAGGCCAACAGTATTATGTCTGTCTGGCAGTGTTTTATCTGTAGGCCAACAGTATTATGTCTGTCTGGCAGTGTTTTATCTGTAGGCCAACAGTATTATGTCTGTCTGGCAGTGTTTTATCTGTAGGCCAACAGTATTATGTCTGTCTGGCAGTGTTTTATCTGTAGGCCAACAGTATTATGTCTGTCTGGCAGTGTTTTATCTGTAGGCCAACCGTATTGTGTCTGTCTCAGGCAGTGCTAGCTAGCTGAGGTCTTCAGGTCTGAGGAATAGACATCTGTGCCCAGTGGGCTGTTATCTGCCCCCACCATGTTCCCCACCTCTGTTATCTGCCCCCACCATGTTCCCCACCTCTGTTATCTGCCCCCACCATGTTCCCCACCTCTGTTATCTGCCCCCACCATGTTCCCCACCTCTGTTATCTGCCCCCACCATGTTCCCCACCTCTGTTATCTGCCCCCACCATGTCCCCCACCTCTGTTATCTGCCCCTACCATGTCCCCCACCTCTGTTATCTGCCCCCACCATGTCCCCCACCTCTGTTATCTGCCCCCACCATGTCCCCCACCTCTGTTATCTGCCCCCACCATGTCCCCCCACCTCTGTTATCTGCCCCCCACCATGTCCCCCACCTCTGTTATCTGCCCCCACCATGTCCCCCACCTCTGTTATCTGCCCCCACCATGTTCCCCACCTCTGTTATCTGCCCCCACCATGTTCCCCCACCTCTGTTATCTGCCCCCACCATGTCCCCCACCTCTGTTATCTGCCCCCACCATGTTCCCCACCTCTGGTTATCTGCCCCACCATGTTCCCCACCTCTGTATTGACCACACCATTCCCCCACCTCTGTTATCTGCCCCCACCAATGTTTCCCCCACTCTGTTATCTGCCCCCACCATGTTCCCCCACCTCTGTTATCTGCCCCCACCATGTCCCCCACCTCTGTTATCTGCCCCCACCATGTCCCCACCTCTGTTATCTGCCCCCACCATGTTCCCCACCTCTGTTATCTGCCCCCCACCATGTCCCCCACCCTCTGTTATCTGCCCCCACCATGTTCCCCACCTCTGTTATGTGCCCCCACCATGTCCCCCACCTCTGTTATCTGCCCCCCACCATGTCCCCCACCTCTGTATCTGCCCCCACCATGTTCCCCACCTCTGTTATCTGCCCCCACCATGTTCCCCACCTCTGTTATCTGCCCCCACCATGTCCCCCACCTCTGTTATCTGCCCCCACCATGTTCCCCACCTCTGTTATCTGCCCCCACCATGTTCCCCCACCTCTGTTATCTGCCCCCACCATGTTCCCCACCTCTGTTATCTGCCCCCACCATGTCCCCCACCTCTGTTATCTGCCCCCACCATGTCCCCCACCTCTGTTATCTGCCCCCACCATGTTCCCCACCTCTGTTATCTGCCCCCACCATGTTCCCCACCTCTGTTATCTGCCCCCACCATGTCCCCCACCTCTGTTATCTGCCCCCCACCATGTCCCCCACCTCTGTTATCTGCCCCCACCATGTTCCCCACCTCTGTTATCTGCCCCCACCATGTTCCCCACCTCTGTTATCTGCCCCCACCATGTTCCCCACCTCTGTTATCTGCCCCCACCATGTCCCCCCCCCCCCCCTTCTTGGAACCCTTTCCTTTGAAATTGATCTCTCGATTCCTCAGAAGCCTTTTACCAGACACCTTCACAGCTATGACATCGGCCACAAATCCTGTTAAGGGAAACAACAGCTCCATTGTGAAGTATTCTTCTGTATTTGGAGGAGGAATGATGATGGTATCACCCTGTTAGAGCGGAAAGAAGAGGGGTGTGGCAGATGTGCACACCACCCATCTGTAATCAAAGCAGCGTGTTTGGAATGTCTCTGGAATGATTCTCTTATCTTACGTTAATTCCAGCAGTAGGACAAAGGCTCTTTATCTGACCATCTGAATGTTAAGTTATGAAGGCTATACAAACAACTAGTTGGATTACAGTCATCAGTCATGGTATAAGATTGTTTGAGAACTATTTGTTTTGCTGCCCAGTTAAGTCCACTATTCACTCACTGCACTGAAAACAACCCCCAGCCAGCCAAAACATCAGTGCCAGACCTAATCAGATGAATCATCCAATGTGAGCTTGCTCTCTCTGGTGGCTGTAGCCAGAACTGCAGACTGTGATGTCAGCGTTCTGGGCTGTTCTCCAATGAGTTACTGGAAGGGGTGGGCAACGGATGACACTGATGGTGGGGAAATGTCAACAACGAAAGTGATTCACTTTGGGGTTACTGCAGTTCAGGGTAACAGCATAGGGAGGTGTTGTGGACGTGCTGATAACATTTTATATTTGGCTCAGATTTTTAAATGAATGCATTATGTAATTTTAGATTTGTTTTGGGTCATACCTCATTCTGTTCACCAACTCCCTCTCTCCTCTCTTTCGGTCTCCAGGACAGGTTTGCAGAGATCTTTGGGATGGACTCTGCAGCCGAGAGCAGGAAGTCTCAGGAGAGCGTTAAGAAGTGGCTGCTGGCGGGTTTGACTCTGGTCACAGGAGTCGTCTTAGGATCTGTCTTCGCTCAGAAACGCCTGTGAGAATGACAGCCACAACAGACACCCTCTTGTAGGGGAAAAATGAAGGAATTTATTTAACTTTTCTAATGTCTCCTTTAATTTCCAAGAAATGACATTATTATGTTTGAACCTTACATCCCACGATACACTGAGGACTCTCTGACAAACTGTTGAGATTTTAGAGAGTGTGATGGTCACTAATGTTACCCTCATCAAACAACTGTCTGCAACACCCTAAAACACAAGAAAATGGAGGGGAGTTATCTATAACTGCCTTGGGCCAAACGTTCCTCTTTTTTTCCTTTGTGTACTCTTTCCTGTTGACCTCTTCTCCAATTGTTGTATTAATTAGTTTTTACAAATGTAAAAGTGATTCAGAAACAAGTTAGCGCATCATACTAGGCGCATTGGCCTGAAATTAGTGAGGTCATTTAATTTTTTGTGTGTGTTCATTGGTTTGTGTTTTTTTGTTGTTTTTTTTACCATTAAAACCCACGTGATCATGTCCTGATGGTGGTCAATAAATACCTGGCACACAGAACACACAACGTGCACAACAAACCACTAGCCAGTGACGAAGAGGAGTATTTATCTAGCAGCTGGTGATAGAGGCTCAGTTGGAGAAAACGTTCAGTATTTAAAACTTACAACACAGCCTTGTGATTAATTTTAGCTAATATGATTGAAGATGAATGAAGCAGAAACCTTTATTTAGTGAGATTACAGATCATTGAGACTTCATATAGATCGAAGACATGAGAAAACGTTGTCAGGTAGACTTCAGGGTTGGACTCCTCCGACCTGCCACGTCTCTGTCTGTGCCTTCATTTCCACACAAGGTGGCACATTCACTTCTGATCTCCTCTCTGCCACAGCAGCTGACGGCGTGCGTCACTCAACACAGGCCCACCTGCTGTTCAGAGCACATCTCCTGTCAAACCTAGTCGACAGAGACTGAGGAAAACGATTCCTTGGTTTCCAAACATCTTTAATTTTAAACACGGCTTCAGTAAGTCAGGAGGGTGTTTGTCGTCTGGGGTTTTCTAGTGTCACGCTCCTTGAGCTGGCAGTTAGCTTCATTCAGGAGGAAGTAAATGGATGAGGTGAGACTGGTGCAACCCCCCCTACCCACATTCTGACCCTCTGCTTCAGGGAACGGGGGCCCTCTTGTGTGACAGACTTTGCAGCGGTGTCCAGCATTTCAAAGCTGGAATGATGTCTCTTTCACTTGCTGTGGTTTTTCCACATTTTATTTGAACAGTGTAGCAGAGCTGTGTTAAACTTTTAGAGGCATGTCAACTTTTATATGCTTTATTTTATGTCCAAGCCCTGATGCAGGTTAGTTTATTTACCCCATGTTTTCTATGCATTTCCTGCAAAATATTTTAACATGACGTGTTTTTGCCTGCTTTTCTCAATTGCCGATGAATAACTTGGGTTTCGTCAGGAAACATTTCTCCGACTGCCAATAACCTCCAGTTCATACAGTACCGGGCCCTCCATGGTATTTAGTTACAGTACCAGTACCGGGCCCTCCAGGGTATTTAGTACCAGTACCGGGCCCTCCAGGGTATTTAGTACCAGTACCGGGCCCTCCAGGGTATTTAGTTACAGTACCAGTACCGGGCCCTCCAGGGTATTTAGTACCAGTACCGGGCCCTCCAGGGTATTTAGTTACAGTACCAGTACCGGGCCCTCCAGGGTATTTAGTTACAGTACCAGTACCAGGCCCTCCATGGTATTTAGTTACAGTACCAGTACCTCCGGGGTATTTAGTTGAGTCAGTCTGTTGATGTTGAGCATTTGTTCAGGTCTACTGTCACCCTGCTTAGGATCTTGATGCTCTCCTTTCCCTAATTATTTTCTGTTTGATATCTCAAGAACACCATATTATTTGATTATCTGGGGACAAGGCTTTCTCTTATGAATATACTATAGATCAGGGCTCTCAACCCTGTTCCTGGAGGGCTACCGTCCTGTAGGTTTACACTCCAACCCTGTTCCTGGAGAGCTACCGTCCTGTAGGTTTACACGCCAACCCTATTCCTGGAGAGCTACCGTCCTGTAGGTTTTTGCTCCAACCCTAATCTAGCACACCTGATTCTAATAATTAGCTGGTTGATAAGCTGAATCAGGTTAGTTACAGCTGGGGTTGGAGCGAAAACTACAGGATGGTAGCTCTCCAGGCAACAAGCTCTCATGGTCTCACTGCAGAATTAGCCGTTCAGCCACGTTCTCCAAACGTCAAATTTCTAAGTGTTTTTGTTGCTCCTGCTGCTCTGTATCGTTCTATATCTCCAAACATCAAATTTTGAATTTACGGGTTAAGTTTAGCTATTCATTCTGAATGGTTTGGGTTAGGGTTAAAATTAAAAAACATTGTCCACAACTGGGATCGAACGCGCAACCTTCTGATCCAGAGTCATGGGATTTCGGCCATCCGCAAAACCCAAGCCTACTTGATGGTAATAGCGCTCACTGTTTCCCCTAGTGGCTGGTTTTGAAGGCATTTTCTGATATTTCAGGACGTGGATAGACGTCCAATTTCGACGCCAATCTTGAACGACCTGGCTTCTCCAGGAACAGGGTTTGAGAGCCCTGCTATAGATCCATATCCGCCAACTGATCATGAACCATTTCATCATAGGCCTGATTTGAATATACATTCCAAGACGGTAATATATTTTTCTAGTGTGTGCCCCCACCAAACGCTAGCCTGGATGCCAGTCTGTTTCTGCTCTCTTGCCAACTCCTTATGGAATTGTCATACCATGTTTGTCTTGACAATGACAAGTAGGCAAAAGCGGAAACAGATCTGGGACCAGGCTAACAAAAAGCTTCTTGCAATGTGACCTTTTTCACGTAAAGAAGTTCCCTCCACGTATGTGAGTGTGTGTGTGTGTGTGCATTCGTGTGGATACTGTATGGCAAATGTTTACAGGAGGCACAAGAATGAATCGAAACAGCATTGATACGACACTATGTATTCTAGTTATTTAAACAATCCATTAGAATAGTATCATAGCTTACTAACATATAAAAAAATAAAAAATAATTGCTGACATTGAAATGTTATTTATGATAATTGGTGTAAAGCGTAAAGTTTCCCTTCAAATTGCCTTATTAAATTCCATCTTTTCATTTGACGTGTACTTGTAATTCATTGTTAATGTTTTGCATTTAACTGCTAATAGAATATAATAGTTTTATTTCCCTATTGATAGCGTAAAGGAGGAAAATCGAAGGATGAAAACAACGCTGTCTAATGGTCTGTTTCTATGTCTTAGATTTACATGCAACTGAATAAAAGACCAATGTTGAACATGGAGAGATATCTGAATGTTCATTTTTGGTGGTTTGGGAGGGAAGAGGGAAAAGGCCAGAAGACATCCATTGTGGAAAACTCAAACATTCATGACTTGATCTAGCTGTTGAAAATATCAATGTAGCACAGAGAATTTTCGAACAACCTTAACTTGTCGATACTTCTTCAATTGCAGACTTGGAAGACAACCAATGTCTTCTAAACGTCCATGTCTAGTTGCAGTGGGTTCGTTAGAATTTAGAAAATGCTCCGTTATTAAATTAAATGTTTCGCTTCATGAATTAATCCAACTGTGTAGACCGCCATCTTCTCGATTTTTATTGGATCATCTTCTCATTGAGACAGGTGGGTCCACCCCAAAGTGCCACATGTCATGACACTCACCTGTCTCCGTCAATGACAGAATATTTGAAATAGACAAGATGGCGGCGTACACATTGTTGGATTACCTCATGGAGCAAAACATTTATTTCATTAGAGGCGCATTTTCTAAATTCAAATGAACCCCCTGCAACTAGACATTGACGTTTAGAAGACATTGGTTGACTTCCAACTTGGGAATTGAGGAAGTATGGACAAGTTAAGGTTGGTCAAAAAATGTCTGCTATGCCAAACGGTACGTATCCTGTAACTGCTAATGGAGCATCACATTAGCCCGTTACAATCTGTTAGCTAGAATTGATCCTAAAGGAGAGAACATACAAATTAATATATTATTCTGTAAGTTCATTTAAAGGGAAAATCTGTAGTTGCTACATACATTTTTGAAATTATGAATGAATATGTACCCATTGATTCTTGAAGAATATAACTTATAAATAAATGCCTCATGAGCTTAGTTCAACTTTCATACCCAATCGGAACCCAAGATATGAGCTTCTTTTACTCCAATGCTTGTAAACAAACAATTTATAGCCTCATGGTTAAAACTATAATTTTGATATCATGGGTGGGCAGTCTTTGCATCCATAGCTGTCTATGAATTTGAGAGTGGCTACAATTCTCCAGCCCCATCCCTCAGTTATTTTTGCAACTGCTGATTGCTGCTTTAATGGGCTCGATGCTGTCCGTTACCTGTAGTGATGATGCTCAGAGCCTCAGACCATACATGATCTTTAACTTGTTTGCCATCTATACTCTACTCCAAGCATAATCAAAGCATTTTCTACAGAAAATACTGATGTTCTTTGCAATGTTAGGACACATTTTAGGTAAGGAAAACACACAAAGGTAAAGGTTTATTTATTTTTTAGTTGTCATTGAGTAATATTTTGATACATAAAATGCTACGGTGCAGCATTTTAGAGTAAAAATTCCCTTTTGTGAGAACTGAAAATGCGGCCTTAAAGGAATTCTCCGGTACTTCTGTATACTTTTTAGCCAGTAGTTCTGAAAGTAGCGCTCACGAGCCAAAAGTGGACTCTGAAAATGATGTACTACATCACACACACTACATGACCAAAAGAATGTGGACACCTGCTCGTCGAACATCTCATTCCAAAATCATGGGCATTAATATGGAGGTGGTCCCCCCTTTGCTGCTATAAAAGCCTCCACTCTTCTGGGAAGGCTTTCCACTAGATGTTGGAACATTGCTGTGGGGACTTGCTTCCATTCAGCCACAAGCGCATTAGTGAGGTCAGGCACTGATGTTGGGCGATTAGGCCTGGCTCGCAGTCAGCATTCCAATTCATCCCAAAGGTCTTCGATGGGGTTTAGGGCAGGGCTCTGTGCAGGCCAGTCAAGTTCTTCCACACCGATCTCAACAAACAATTTCTGTATGGACCTCGCTTTGGAAAGGAAAGGAAAGGGCCTTCCCCAAAATGTTGCCACAAAGTTGGAAGCACAGAATCATCTAATATGTAATTGTATGCTGTAGTGTTAAGATTTCCCTTCAGTGGTATTAAGGGGCTCAGCCCGAACCATGAAAAACAGCCCCAGATCATCATTCCTCTTCCACCAAACTTTACAGTTGGCACCATGCATTCGGAAACCCAGATTTGTCCGTCTGACTGCCAGATGGTGAAGCGTGATTCATCACTCCAGAGAACGCGTTTCCACTGCTCCAGAGTCCAATGGCGGCTAGCTTTACACCACTCCAGCCGACACTTGGCATTGCGCATAGTGATCTTAGGCTTGTGTGCGGCTGCTCGGGCCATGGAAACCCATTTCATGAAGCTCCCGACTAACAGTTAATTTTAATTTTTGTAAATTGTTTTAACCCCCTTTTTCTCCCCAATTTCGATCTTGTCTCATCGCTGCAACTCCCCAACGGGCTCGGGAGGCAAAGGTAGAGTCATGCGTCCTGCGAAACATGACCCGCCAAACCGCGCTCCTTAACACCCGCCCGCTTAACCCGGAAGCCAGCCGCACCAATGTGTCGGATGAAACACCGTTCAACTGATGACCGAGGTCAGCCTGCAGTCGCCCAGCCCGCCACAAGGAGTCACTCGAGCGCGATGAGCCAAGTAAAACCCCCCTGGCCAAACCCTCCCCTAACCCGGACGACGCTGGGCCAATTGTGGGCCGCCCTATGGGACTCCCGATCACGGCCGGTTGTGGTGATACAGCCCGGGACCGAACCCGAGTCTGTAGTGACGCCTCTAGCACTGCGATGCAGTGCCTTAGACCGCTGCACCACTCGGGAGGCCCCCGACAAACAGTTTTTGTGCTGACGTTGCGTCCAGAGGAAGGTTTGGGACTCGGTAGTGAGTGGTGTGACCGAGGACAGACGATTTTTACATGCTTCAGCACTCGGCGGTCCCATTCTGTGAGCTTGTGTGGCCTACCACTTGGCAGCTGAGCTGTTGTTGCTCCTAGACGTTTCCACTTCACAATAACAGCTCTTACAGTTGACAGGGGCAGCTCTAGCAGGGCAGAAATTTGACCAACTGACTTGTTGGAAAGGTGGCATCCTATGACGGTGCCACGTTGAAAGTCACTGAGCTCTTCAGTAAGGCCATTCTACTGCCAATCTTTGTCTATGGAGATTGCATGGCTGTGTGCTCGATTGTATACACCTGTCAGGAACGGGTGTGGCTGAAATAGCCGAATCCACTAATTTGAAGGAGTGTCCACATAATTTTGTATAGATAGTGTATGTGCAGATACGTGCACCACGTCATTGCTCTCTCTCCCTCTGCTGTGGGTGAGTCTCGCAAGCTGTCACAAATGGCGAGGGGCTGAATAGATTTTAAAGAGTTTCACAGTGATGGGATAAAACAAATGTATACTAGGTTGCGTTTTATTGTTAGTGTTGAGTGTATCTGGACCACAGGGACCACCAAGGCAATTGTACAACCCACAATACTCACTGCCTTCAGGTCCAATCCAGACACAATACCACTGGAACGCTAAAGCAGAAATTAGGACAAGCAGCCTATAATGTTAGACTTATTTTCTCAGCTAGATGGAGGGAGAAGGAAGCAAACTGTTTTTTTTGTAATTTATTACTTAAACAGTAAGAGGATGGATTCAGATGGATAGCTTGCCACGATGGTGGAAGGAGAGGCTGTTGGTTAAACGGAGGCTCAAGGTGTTGTCAAGTCCAACCAACCGCTCCTCATTTCAGCTCAGTAGCCCGTCTATTCCTTCCTTTATTTACTTCCACTGTTTGTTCTTGTAGTCCCACTTGGCAGAAAAGCCCTCGATTGGGTTGACCCGCATGTCCAGCATCCTCTGGATCTGCTTAGCCTGCCACTCCTCACCAAAGGTGTGAGGTTGGGGTGGGTACACTGTAGGACACAAAGGAGAAAGAGAACAGCAACTTTGAGGATGGAACAATCGCCCATCCATGTGTTATACAGGCTCGAGGAAGTCTATCAAGTTTAGCAATCAACCATGAGAAATCTTACCATAGTGGCCCTGCCAAAACACCACCAGACCAGTGATGCCAAAGAAGATGAACATCCCACCGATGACAGTCTTCCACTCATGGGAGGGCCTCTTCATCTCAGGGTAGGTGTGGTTGAACTTCAACCTGTACACTGGGACAGAGAATGAGAAATATTAAAGATGAAAGGCTGTAAAATGAGAAGGAATGAGACAGAACAGTTTCACTTGCTTTGGCAAAGTAAACATACCATATGTTTCCCATGCCAATAAAGCTCTTAGAATTGAATTGAGAGGGGCTTACATGCAATTTTCTCCTCCTTGGACAGTGCAGTCCAGGGCCCCTTCTCCTTCTGTTTCAGGCTCTTATCCGTAGAATCAAGGACATCCTTCCATGCTCTGTCTGGCAGAGGGGTGTCCAAACGATCCCAGTACATTGGCTGGGACATGTCCACCTGGTCTGACACCTCTACGGTACAGGAGAGATAGGACACATCATCGATGATGGTGGAAAGAACGTTAATCAATCAATCAGTAACGTGGGAAAGATGTGAAGGGGAGGCTGTGGTAAAGGGAGTGGTAAGGTGGGGTTTAGAGGTTTATAGACGTCAGAGAAGTAGACATTACACTGGGAGGTTAAGACCTCAGGTCTTTGCGCTTGTAGCGCCGTTCACCACTTCATAAAGCCAACAGCGCCATCTGCTGATAATAAATGCAATGGTGCAGTAGGCCATTCCATTTCAAATGCAACTTGCTTGAATAAAATTAGGTTTACGCAACAAACTAGGATGTGTGTATTGTGATTCCTTTTTTGGATACATTGGAACAGAAAATAAACCGTTTTTTCCCTACTGACAGTTATGCATGTAGTGCAACGTCAAATAATACCGTGGTGGCTATGGCTTGACATCCTCGCGCCACTGTTGGTCAGTCCCACCACCGCGCGCCTGGAAAGCAAGCACCCCACTCGTCCTGTTGTCAGGTGAAGCATCTGACAGGTGAGGAAGAGAGAGAGAAAAATATTTATACCCCAACAAAATGTCGCCACATAACTGATCAGTCCATCTGGACCCAGTGAGCATCGTCTGACGCTGACGTCCATGGATGTTGAAAAGACGTTGAAATGTGGTCCATCTGCCTTGGCCTTGATTTAAACATCCACAGACTTCGTTTTTTTGGTCCTGACCGGTCTTGATTTTAACGTCCATAGACGTCTATAATTGGTTCAGTGAAAACGTTACTCTACTGTACTGTCCAAACTTGTGAAACATAGACATCTATATTGGTTGAGACGTTTTAAGATCTGGCATGCGTCAGCAACATCTGAGCAGGGGAGCACGACCTGTGTCTTGTTTAGAATAATACCCAGCGTGCTTTTCAAGTGTTCGTGTTTACATTTACATTTGGGGCTTTTAGCAGACGCTCTTATCCAGAGCAACTTACTGTCAGTGCATTCAACTAAGGTAGATAAACAACCACATAAAAACGTACACAGCGTTGTACGAGATCTTCAGTTTCTTGGCAATTTCTCGCATAGAATAGCCTTAATTTCTCAGAACAAGAATAGACTGACAAGTTTCAGAAGAAAGTTATTTGTTTCTTGCCATTTTGAGACTGTAATCGAACCCACAATTGCTGATGCTCCAGATACTCAACTAGTCTCAAGAAGGCCAGTTTTATTGCTTCTTTAATCAGCACAACAGTTTTCAGATGTGCTAACATAATTGCAAAAGGGTTTTCTAATGATCCATTTTAAAATGATAAACTTGGATTAGCAAACACAACGTGCCATTGGAACACAGGACTGATGGTTGCTGATAATGGGCCTCTGTACGCTTATGTAGATATTCCATTAAAAATCTGTTTTCCAGCTACAATAGCCATTTACAACATTTACAATGTCTACACTGTATTTCTGATCAATTTTATGTTATTTTAATTGACAAAAAAAATTGTGAATAAAAATTTTGTGACCCCAAACTTTTGAATGGTAGTGTATATGTGTATAAATATATATGATGGGATGTATAGACATTATGGACAATATGTGGATAGCATATTAATTACACTTTAGCCCCCCTCTCCAGGCTTAGAGTAACTAAAAGCAGGGGAGGATTCAGAAAGGCTGGGAATACCAGCTAATTTAGGACATTTGTTTGTATTGCATGAGTAATACTCTGTCTGTCTGTCTGTCTGTCTGTCTGTCTGTCTGTCTGTCTGTCTGTCTGTCTGTCTGTCTGTCTGTCTCTGTCTGTATGTATGTCTGTCTGTCTGTATGTCTGTCTGTCTGTCTGTCTGTCTGTCTGTCTGTCTGTCTGTCTGTCTGTCTGTCTGTCTGTCTGTCTGTCTGTCTGTCTGTCTGTCTGTCTGTCTATCTATCTATCTGTCTCACTCACTCACTCACTCACTCACTCACTCACTCACTCTCTCACACACAACAGCCAGTGAAAACTGGCAGTTGGTCAACATCAGCAGCCATGTCACCACGTCCGAAATGACCTCCACACACACAGACGGACAGACAAACAGACACGGACCATTACACATTTATGAGACATTTATGCAAAATAATTTGTACAGACATATTATTATCAAGAAGGAGTACAGTGTGATTTGTTCTCCAAATATGGAGTTGGTGTCTGTCTTTTATGGCACAAATGTTTACAAATGAAACTTGTGGAGAATTGAGTTAACACAGGCTATTAGACAGCCAATGCCCTAATGCATAATCTCATAAAGTCATTGAGAGAGATTACAATGATTTGTAACCAAATACAGTACTGCATGCCATTAACACAATCCCTTTTCCTCTGTCAACAGCCTGACTTGGAATATTACCAATGCTCATGCCTTGTTGAAGTCTCTGTCTGCATGGTCTGTGTTAGAGTTCTAAATACCCCTCTCACCTTCCCAAGGGTCTTAATACCCCTCCCCCCCCCAGCCCCTGTCTGACCCAAATAGCTAGTCCTCTCTGACCCCAAAGGTTCTGAAGCCATCAGGTACTCACATTTGTCCTGAGAGAGTGGACCTTCAGAAAAACTAGATGGACAAAGAAGAGCACCCTCTCTTCAGCGATTGCCTGCTTTGGCGCACTGTTGCTGTGTCTCAGCTTTGGTTCTTGGTGAGAGAAGGGGAGGGTTAGAGGCAGGGAGGGGGTGTGTGAGAGTTTAGAGAGACTAAACCAGTGCAAGTAAACAATCTGAGAAAGCATGTGACACCACTGGCAGACTACAGCTGGGATAGGATTGCACTGTAAAATATATATTTCACTCTCTCTTTAATCATTTTCTTCTTTCCACTTTCACAGATCTTACAGAGAACTCCACTGTGACAGAAACAGGGAGCCTCTGGAATGCAGAGAGGGTCACATTAGGTCAGTTTATAAGAACGAGGGAGTTGCTTTCACAGAGAAGACGAAATGGAAAGAGAGAGAGAGACCTTAAATTGAATAGAGAGAGAGAGAGACAGAGAGAGCGAGAGACAGAGAGAGAGGAGAGGCTGTGTGAAAGCTTGAAAGAGAGAGAGAGACAGAGAGAGAGGAGAGGCTGTGTGAAAGCTTGAAAGGTTGAGAGAGAGAGCCCAAGAGAGGTTAAGAAAAAGAGAGAAATGAATTTGGTGTAAATACAACCTTATAAACTGGGTGAAGAACAAACACCATTGTAAATACAACCCATATTTATGTTTATTTATTTTCCCATTTGAACTTTAACTATTTGCACATTGTTACAACACTGTATATATACATAATATGACTGTTCAAATATACATTTGAAATGTCTTTATTCTTTTGGAACTTCTGAGTGTAATGTTTACTGTTAATATTTATTGTTTATTTCACTTTTGTTTACTATCTACAGTTGAAGTCTGAAGTTTACATACACTTACGTTGGAGTCATTAAAACACGTTTTTCAACCACTCCACAAATTTCTTGTCAACAAACTATAGTTTTGGCAAGTCGGTTAGGACATCTACTTTGTACATGACATAAGTAATTTTTCCAACAATTGTTTACAGATAGATTATTTCACTTATAATTCACTATATCACAATTCCAGTGGGTCAGATGTTTACATACACTAAGTTGACTGTGCCTTTAAACAGCTTGGAAAATTCAAGAAAATGATGTCTTGGCTTTAGAAGCTTCTGATAGGCTAATTGACATTATTTGAGTCAATTGGAGGTGTACCTGTGGATGTATTTCAAGGCCTACCTTCAAACTCAGTGCCTCTTTGCTTGACATCATGGGAAAATCAAAAGAAATCAGCCAAGACCTCAGAAAAAAAATGGTAGACCTCCACAAGTCTGGTTCATCCTTGGGAGCAATTTCCAAACGCCTGAAGGTACCACGTTCATCTGTACAAACAATAGTACGCAAGTATAAACACCATGGGACCACGCAGCCGTCATACCGCTCAGGAAGGAGACGCATTCTGTCTCCTAGAGATTAACGTACTTTGGTGCGAAAAGTGCAAATCAATCCCAGAACAACAGCAAAGGACCTTGTGAAGATGCTGGAGGAAACAGGTCCAAAAGTATCTATATCCACAGTAAAACGAGTCCTATATCGACATAACCTGAAAGTCTGCTCAGCAAGGAAGAAGCCACTGCTCCAAAACCGCCATAAAAAAGCCAGACTACGGTTTGCAACTGCACATGGGGACAAAGATCGTACTTTTTTGAGAAAAGTCCTCTGGTCTGATGAAACAAAAATAGAACTGTTTGGCCATGATTACCATCGTTATGTTTGGAGGAAAAAGGGGGATGCTTGCAAGCCGACGAACACCATCCCAACCGTGAAGCACGGGGTGGCAGCATCATGCTGTGGGGGTGCTTTGCTGTAGGAGGGACTGGTGCACTTCACAAAATAGATGGCATCATGAGGAAGGAAAGTTATGTGGATATATTGAAGCAACATCTCAAGAGATCAGTCAGGAAGTTAAAGCTTGGTTGCAAATGGGTCTTCCAAATGGACAAAGCATACTTCCAAAGTTGTGGCAAAATGGCTTAAGGACAACAAAGTCAAGGTGTTGGAGTGGCCATCACAAAGCCCTGACCTCAATCCTATAGAACATTTGTGGGCAGAACTGAAAAAGCGTGTGCGAGCAAGGAGGCCAACAAACCAGACTCAGTTACACCAGCTCTGTCAGGAGGAATGGGCCAAAATTCACCCAACTTATTGTGGGAAGCTTGTGGAAGGCTACCCAACACGTTTGACCCAAGTTAAACAATTTAAAGGCAATGCTACCAAATACTAATTGAGTGGATGTAAACTTCTGACCCACTGGGAATGTGATGAAAGAAATAAAAGCTGAAATAAATCATTCTCTCTATTATTATTCTGACATTTCACATTCTTAAAATAAAGTGGTGATCCTAACTGACCTAAGACAGTGCATTTTTACTAGTATCAAATGTCAGGAATTGTGAAAAACGTAGTTTAATTGTATTTGGCTAAGGTGTATGTAAACTTCCGACTTCAACTGTACTTCACTTGCTTTGGCAATGTTAACATACGTTTCCCATGCCAATAAAGCCCTATAAAAAAATGAATTGATAGAGAGAGAGAGAGAGAGAGAGAGAGAGAGAGAGAGGCAGAGAGAGAGAGAGAGAGGCAGAGAGAGAGAGAGAGAGAGAGAGCGAGAGAGAGAGAGGCAGAGAGAGAGACAGAGAGAGAGAGAGGCAGAGAGAGAGAGACAGAGAGAGAGAGAGGCAGAGAGAGAGAGACAGAGAGAGAGAGAGAGAGGCAGAGAGAGAGAGAGAGAGAGGCAGAGAGAGAGACAGAGAGAGAGAGAGAGAGAGAGAGAGAGAGAGAGAGAGAGAGAGAGAGAGAGAGAGAGAGAGAGAGAGAGGCAGAGAGAGAGAGAGGACTAGAATCTGAAGTCAAATGTCTTCTGTTTGCTGATGATCTGGTGCTTCTGTCACCAACCAAGGAGGGCCTACAGCAGCACCTAGATCTTCTGCACAGATTCTGTCAGACCTGGGCCCTGACAGTAAATCTCAGTAAGACAAAAATAATGGTGTTCCAAAAAAGGTCCAGTTGCCAGGACCACAAATACAAATTCCATCTAGACACCGTTGCCCTAGAGCACACAAAAAACTATACATACCTCGGCGTAAACATCAGCGCCACAGGTAACTTCCACAAAGCTGTGAACGATCTGAGAGACAAGGCAAGAAGGGCCTTCTATGCCATCAAAAGGAACATAAAATTTGACATACCAATTAGGATCTGGCTAAAAATACTTGAATCAGTTATAGAACCCATTGCCCTTTCTGGTTCTGAGGTCTGGGGTCCGCTCACCAACCAAGAATTCACAAAATGGGACAAACACCAAATTGAGACTCTGCATGCAGAATTCTGCAAAAACATCCTCCGTGTACAACGTAAAACACCAAATAATGCATGCAGAGCAGAATTAGGCCAATACCCGCTAATTATCAAAATCCAGAAAAGAGCCGTTAAATTCTATAACCACTTAAAAGGAAGCGATTCCCAAACCTTCCATAACAAAGCCATCACCTACAGAGAGATGAACTTGGAGAAGAGTCCCCTAAGTAAGCTTGTCCTGGGCCTCTGTTCACAAACACAAACAGACCCCACACAGCCCCAGGACAACAACAACAACAACAACACAATTAGACCCAACCAAATCATGAGAAAACAAAAAGAGAATTACTTGACACATTGGAAAGAACAAACAAAAAAACAGAGCAAACTAGAATTCTATTTGGCCCTAAACAGAGAGTACACAGTGGCAGAATACCTGACCACTGTGACTGACCCAAACTTAAGGAAAGCTTTGACTATGTACAGACTCAGTGACCATAGCCTTGCTATTGAGAAAGGCCGCCGTAGGCAGACCTGGCTCTCAAGAGAAGACAGGCTATGTGCACACTGCCCACAAAATGAGGTGGAAACTGAGCTGCACTTCCTAACCTCCTGCCAAATGTATGACCATATTAGAGACACATATTTCCCTCAGATTACAGCGATCCACAAAGAATTCGAAAACAAACCCAATTTTGATAAACTCCCTTATCTACTGGGTGAAAAACCACAGTTTGCCATCACAGCTGCAAGATTTGTGACCTGTTGCCACAAGAAAAGGGCAACCAGTGAAGAACAAACACCATTGTAAATACAACCCATATTTATGTTTATTTATTTTCCCATTTGTACTTTAACTATTTGCACATTGTTACAACACTGTATATATACATAATATGACATTTGAAATGTCTTTATTCTTTTGAAACTTCTGAGTGTAATGTTTACTGTTAATATTTATTGTTTATTTCACTTTTGTTTACTATCTACTTCCCTTGCTTTGGCAATGTTAACACACGTTTCCCATGCCAATAAAGCCCTTAAATTGAAATTGAAATTGAATTGAGAGGCAGAGAGAGAGAGAGAGAGAGAGAGAGAGAGAGAGAGAGAGAGAGAGAGAGAGAGAGAGAGAGGAGAGGCTGTGTGAAAGGTTGAAAGGTTGAGAGAGAGAGCCCAAGAGAGGGTAAGAAAAAGAGATAAATGTGACTGTCACAGTATTTGGTGAGGAAGAGTGAGTGCTAGAAAGGGAAAAAGACAAGATGGGATCAAGTTCAGGCCTGATTTAGGTTTAGTCATGCAGGACCCAAACCAGCATTACCCCTGGCAGTTGTTTAGCTGCTGGTATGTGATCCACAGGAGGGCAACCAACGGTGGAGGGCGCTGAGGGGAGAGGAGGGGAATGACAAGAGGGGTTGGTTAAGGACAGGCTGGCTCCACAGTACTGTATGCTGTTCAGCAAGCAAATGTAGAGGCACCTGTCTTTCTTTCCTTCTGTCATTCTATCATTATCTCTCTCTCTCTCTCTCTCTTATCCTCTCTCTCTCTCTCTCTCTCTCTCTCTCTCTCTCACTGACCAGCATGAAAATATTTATAAACTGCAGGCGATGTGCCAGGTTGCTTTATTAAGTCAAGGTCAATGTTAGCATGAACTATACCCTCTTTGGTTGCACAATTTACCTTCCTATTTCAGCAGAACACGGTAAAGAAATGACGAAAGTACTAATAGCCAGATTCTTGAAGTGGTAGCTTTTCAATCCATATTAACACAGAGCAGTGCAATGGATTCAGACAGTCTGTTAAAGTGTAACTGCCCTCTGATTCACTG